CGGATGGTCATCATAACCACACTTTTTGATGTACCAAAAATATTTCCAAAATTTAAAATAAATAAATATGAAAAAAATACTTTTTTTTTAAATACAAATTTATTACATCTTGTATAACTAGAAAAAAATGTTTTAAATTAAAAACAAGCCCGTTGTCATTTATTAGGCAAATTATAAATAAACTGGCCAGCACATTCAACTTTCCCAGTCAGAATTGGGCCATTTCATAATAATAATAATAAGATTAAGAAGAAATAATAATGATTTTTCATTATAATTAAAATTATAATAACAATAAAACAATAATAATAATAATAGGCCTAAATAAAAATAATAATAATAACAATAATAAAATTATAATAACAATAAAATTATAATAATAATAGGCCTATATACTACTACTACTAATAATAATAAAATTATAATAACAATAAAATAATAATAATAATAATAATAATAATAGGTCTATATAAAATAATAATAATAAAATTATAATAACAATAAGGTAGAGCTTCACAGTTTTTCTAGCCTCTCTTGTAAAAACATTTGAAGATTTATGGGTAACAACAGTTGTATTTAAACTATTTTAATTTGATGGGTTTTCAATGGATTATTTTCACTTTTTATGATGGCATGGCAGTCAAAATAGGACAAATGAGCTCATATATGGGACATACGGGTCTAAATTCATGTGTACAAACCGGATATCATCAAGATAATAGTCTGAACATGCACATATAATAGTCTAATAATAGACACAAGTCATCTAGATGTGTATATAACGTTATCATTTATTTGTTGACTCTATTTTCCACTTAATTAAATGTCCTTCTGTCTTCTTGTATTAATGAATTATGATTTCCAAAACCTGTGATTAAACAACAGGCCTACAGGTTTAAATACAGACAGTCTAAAGCTTTATCAGGCGTATTTAGAACATGAATCACTTGATGGCATTTAACACCTCTATTTATGGACCACGGCCATTATAACAGCCTATTTAATTAATTATAGATTTTGTATTGCGCATGTCGCATAGGCCTATATATTTCACTATATTACACCTATAAACCTGAGCCTACACTATTCTGGCTACTTGAGCAGAAGTTAAATGAATTCAAATGTATTCAAAGCACAATGTCAATCACAATGTCAGTGATCCTGCATGTCAGAATATTATTCACGGGATTTCTGTGGTGTTTTTCAGACTGTTTGTTCATGATAACGATTTTACTGAAGCGCATGACAGTCACAAACACCGGAGCCGAGACAATCACGACGTGTCTACATGTGTGTGTGTGTGTTGGTTTAGGAAAAACCTGGATGCAGGTGTTTCCTGATAATACCACACACACACACAGAGAGAGAGAGAGAGAGAGAGAGAGAGAGAGAGAGAGAGAGAGAGACGCACACACGCGCACACATCTAGATTATTATAAATGAATCATTTGATTATTATTGATATCAATCCTAAACTGTTGATTGTTTAATGTAGTTTATTCTGATATATTATTATTTTTAATATGATATTTTCACTTATTTAATTATTATATCTATATATAATTTTTTATACTTCTACTACTGTTTGCTGTGTTTATTGTGTTTTTTTAATTTATATATGCATGTTCTTTTATTTTTATTTAAACTTTATAAATGCTTGGCAATACATTTGTCATGTCAATAAAGCAATTATTGAATTAAATTTAATTGAGAGAGAGAGATAATACAATTCAGTTCATTTTTAGTTGTATAGCGCTTTTACAATGTAGATTGCGTCAAAGCAGCTTCACACAGAAGATTATAGTAAATTGAAACAGTGTAGTTCAGTCTTTAGTGTTTAAGTTCAGTTCAGTTTAGCTCAGTTCAGTGTGGTTAAAGATTAGAGAAGTTAATTGCATAACAAATAATAATAATAATAATTGCATGACAAATGTTAAAAATGTTTCGCCAGAGCATTTATAAAGTTTACATTAAATTTAAAAGAACATACATATATAATAAAAAAGTTAAAAATAAAAAAAATTATGAAATAGATATATTATATATATATATAATATATATATATATAATATAATATTATATATATAATATAATATATATATATATAATAAAATTTAATATTATATTATTATTTAATATCTCATTATATATATATATATATATATATATATATATATATATATATATATATATAATTTAATATTATATTATTATTTAATATCTCATTATATATATATATATATATATATATATATATATATAATATTCTTGTGTATCATATTCATATAGATCAATAAAAAATAGTAATATATCAGAATAAACTGTACATTTAACAGTAAACATTATAGGATAAAACAGTAATAAAATCAATAATAATCAGTATTTTAATATATAATTTACTTATAATAATTTACACACACACTTTCTCTCTTCTCTTACATAGTGTGACCGCAATAATCAGTTTCCACTGTTTCCTCTGAACAATTAATGTGGCAAATAAACACTTAATAAAAGAAACACTTTATTTTACACAAATTAATATTTTGCACCATATAGGCAACTGCTTTATTACATATTTAGAATTTTTCTAGCCATTTATGAAACGATGCTTTATGAAATTAATGCTAAACAAAATTTGTCTGGATTTATTTTTTTGGGAAACTTGCTGTACTCCGTGCATATGATTCGTGCAGCTGTTTCCGTCATCTAGGATGCGAGATCATGAGAATAAATCAGCTTCACAATAAATCTGATATCATTGTGTTCCATCATATGATCAATTCTCGTATTCGTCATTAGTCTAAATAAACGGCGGGAATGTTCTGCAGCAGCACGTGACAGCGCGAGAGGCTACCGGACACTGGCCGGTTACCGTCAGCAGCGCGTGACCGGTGACAGCAACAGCGAGACGCGCGTGCGCGTGCAGGAATAATCGGTTCCGTTATTTCCCCATCATACCCTCAGTGAACCGAACACACGACCTCCCGAACACACCCGGTAGGAGCGGCGGGTCCGGATCAATCCTCACGCGATGAGCGGCGGCGTGTACGGCGGAGGTAAGAGCGATCCCGCATCACCATGACAACCGCATCCGCGAGCCGGCAGCATCAGCCTCAGCGACGTTACGGTACAGTGTGGGGAAACAGTGTTTACAAGGTGCGACACGCTGGAAATACACGCTTTTACCATGGTGAATGTTAAAAGCGTGTCTCATCAGCTCCTCCGGACACTATGATAGCATGAGGACTTGCTCTTCCAAGTTGTAGACACTGGGGTGTGTTTAACAGCAAAGCACTAGCCATATTTCCGCTTCAGCGTTTAAAAGCTTGACGTTTAATTAATAAACCTGACTGCTGATTCTTCTTAAGATTCACAGGGAACACCAGAATAAACCCATACTCATCATTTTAATCATGCACTCTAAAAATGCTGAGATGTCAACCAAAGGTCTAACATGGACAAACCCGACCACTGGGTTATTCATATTTCACTGTAAAAGACGCTGGGTTTGTCCATATTTGACCAAACACTGGTGATCATCTATTCAAAACACCTGTGTTAAAATGTCATGTTAAGAAAATAACTGAGCGACTTCTGCTGAAACTATTCTGCTTATCTAATTTCACACACACACACACACACACACACACACACACACACACACACACACACACACACACACACACACACACACACACACACAGTAATATCAGATCAGATCAGATCTGGCTGATGGTTTATAATAGGGCTGCTGGCTGCACAATATATGGTCTCAGTATCGATATCACCATGTGAGCATCTGCAATAGTCACAACACACACACTGTCAGAAAAGATGGTAGGGGAGCGCGGGGCACAAAGTAACGCAGGGTTAAATGCAACACAGAGTTTTAAGGTATTTGCTCAGGGTTAACCATGGCATGCTTCCAAGGTTTCACCACACTGTCAGCAGACGTCTTCCTGCCAATTCTTGAAAAAATTAGGCAAAATTTGGATGAGAAACACTACATAAACCATTTTGGCAGCATAAAAGTATTTTTTATTAAAGTCAATATTTTTTTATTTAAAAAAAACCTGTGAAAGTATGTCAGAAAAATCTTATATTGTTGTGATCACCGTCTTCTAAAAGATTAAACCATTTTGAAAGATGTAAAACACACACATGACTGCGAGCCAGTTTTGAGGAAAACATGACACAGCGGGGTTAGTTTTAACGGTGTTACAATTAAGCCACACACTGTTGGACACCTATTAAACCAACAAAATATATATTTTTTTAATTTTGAGTGTGATGTTGAGAACTTTTTAAATAAAACAGCTTTTTTTAATATAACATTTTTTTATTTAATAGAAAAAAATATTTTATCGCTAATAATGCAAATAAATGCATTGTATAATAATGAATAAATAAATAATAATGCAAATTCAAATGTGTTTATCCAATAAACAAATAAATGAAAATAAATAAGCATACTGTGCTATGTAGAATAAAACAGAAATGAGACAACTATTGAGGAAATATAGCTATATTATTTAAAGTAAACTCAATTTAAATTAGGCGACGTAGTGGCGCAGTAGGTAGTGCTGTCGCCTCACAGCACGAAGGTCGCTGGGTCGCTGGTTTGAACCTCGGCTCAGTTGGCGTTTCTGTGTGGAGTTTGCATGTTCTCCCTGCGTTCGCGTGGGTTTCCTCGGGGTGCTCCGGTTTCCCCCAGTTTGCCCACAGTCCAAAGACATGTGGTACAGGTGAATTGGGTAGGCTAAATTGTCCATAGTGTATGAGTGTGTGTGTGGATGTTTCCCAGAGATGGGTTGTGGCTGGAAGGGCATCCGCTGCGTAAAAACCTGCTGTATATGTTGGCGGTTCATTCCGCTGTGGCAACCCTGGATTAAAAAAGAGACTAAGCCGACAAGAAAATGAATGAATCAATTTAAATTAATTGTGAAATCTGCCTTTAAATGCATGTGTTACATCAAACCCCCTGTCTGTTACAACTTGCTCCGTGGGTGGGGTGAATTGTAACGTTTTTACTCCTGGCACTTTTGGCAATACTGCACAGAAACCACAGGTCTGGCAATCATAATTCCAGTGCTCATTTGTAGGAGAGGCTTGTGTGTTATTGGTAAAAAAACATGGTTTGTCTAACCCCATTACTTTGTTTATTATTTGGCCAAAACCAAAAAGTGTTACTTTGTGCCCCGCTCTCCTCTACAAACCCTTGTCACTCTGCCTTTTTATGAGACAGAATTGTAGCGTAAGACAAAGAAACACATTTGTACCATTGCAGTTTGCACCTTTAAGGACGTCGTTTGTACCATGGGAAAATAAAATGTCAGGTTTTTAAAACCTGCAGATACAATATCGTAGCTTCATCAGAGGTACAAATCTGATCCATGAAGGCACCACTACAGTGACAAGACAAAGCAAACCGTAACTGTCGTAACTTGTTCCTTCAAGAACTATTTAAAGGTGTTTTGCTTTATCCAAAATGCCTTAATTTATTCATTAATTTTTTTGCCCAGTTAGTCCCTTTGTTAATCCGGGGTCGCCACAGTGGAATGAACCGCCAACTTATCCAGCAAGTTTTTACGCAGCGGATGCCCTTCCAGCCGCAACCCATCTCTGGGAAACATCCACACACACACACACACACACACACACGTTCATACACTATGGACAATTAAGCATGCCCAATTCACCTGTACCACATATCTTTGGATTGTGGGGGAAACCGGAGCCCCCGAAGGAAACTGCCCCGCGAAGGCAGGGAGAACATGCAAACTCCACACAGAAACGCCAACTAAGCAGAGGTTCGAACCAGCGACCCAGCGACCTTCTTGCTGTGAGGCGACAGCACTACCTACTGCGCCATCACCAGACCTCAAAAGTATCAAATAATAATAACAATAATAAATAAATAAACAAATCAAATAATTTTACAAAGACTTCAAAAAGGATGACAAAAGTTAAAAAATGTAATAATTTCATAATAAAAAGTGTACAATCTCAGTGAATTAGCTACATCAGTGGCGCTGATCAGTCCACAATAATTTAGTGGCTAAAAATTATTCATTTATTCATTTATTGAAATACTGTGAATTCACGCAAGTACATTTAGATGAATAATATCAACAACTAAATCATATTGAGGTGGCCACAGGGGGCGCCCCTGATCTAAACTCTTCATAAATGTTTCCAGGGCCGGAGTGGGACTCCTATTCAGCCCTGGAGTTTCAAGCCTTACGCCCCATTCACACGAGGCTTCAGCGTCAACACTTGACTGAAGGCGCGTTTGAAGTATGCATACAGTCTGTTTGTATTTGCATACAGCAATCTGATTGGCTGACGCTTCCGTCGGCGCTTGAAAAGTTGAGCTAGTCCCAACTTCTGCAGCGAGCAACGCCTCTGAAGCGGCGCCGACAAATCCACAATGCAGTTCGGCAACGCCTAATGTCAAAGTGAATGGGAAGCGTTGATGCTGACGCCCCGTGTGAATCGGGCGTTAGACCGGCCCACTTCAGTGCAATATCTGAGTATATATTCTGTGCTAAATTCTTTATAGATATACAGTCCTTTGTAACGGTGGTCACACACACAAAAAAAAAAAATTAAAAATAAATATATATATATATATATATATATATATATATATATATATATATGTACACCTACATTAGTAACCCAAAGAGTATTATATATCTTAACAATAATAATAAAAAAATATATAATAATAATAAGTGAAGTTTATTCATAAACTAATTTCGAGAGGATCACGTGATTATGATTGAACACGGCTGGTTTTGCATTAGCATGCATGATCCACCAATCAGGCCAGTCCTAACCCACTATAAAGAGCCAGGGTTTCTCACTACAGTCATCTTCGATTTGAACAATCCCCCCTGCGTGGGTTTTCCCCGGGTCCTCCGGTTTCCTCCCACATTCCGAAAACATGCAAAACAAGTGAACTGATCAATCTAAATTTTGCACCACAGTCAATCTCCCACCCTGCAGGATATCTGTTAATAGCATTCAATTTTTAGTCATCAGTTTTTATCAAGGGAGAGTTGTCGAGATCTACCTGAGCTCAAGGCTCCCCTCTCGCCCTGCAAACGGGAGTGATCCCAGGGCTCAAGGACCTTTTGGGCTCAGGGCTCTCTCCCGGGACAGCATGCCAAACTAAGTGTGAACTCTTGAAATTTCCTTCGGTCAGGTTCGAACTTGGGTCCGTGGCGTCATAACGCAACGTGGACCACAATGGAGCTGTTTCAATAAAGACTTTGGAATAAAACATAAATATTGCACTGTTTAGATTTCTGACCAAGTTATGTCAGATTTATTAATGTAGTGAATCATCTGAGTTTCATTGAGCAGGTGTAATATTCATTAATATTAATTATTCGAATGCTTATTTTCCGCTGCTTGGGGTGGAATGATAGGTACGTCATCATTAACCTGCATTAACCTGAGTTTCAGCAAAATAATGAATAAAAAGAGTTATGCGATGGTCAAATAAACATTCATTCATCCATTTTCTTTTCAGCTTAGTCCCTTTATTAATCTAGGGTCGCCACAGCGGAATTAACCACTCGGTCAAATAAACAAATAAATGAAAAAGTGCGACTGCTGAGAGTGCAAGCAGCGGGACACCGGCCCTCATGGCCAAAAAACAGACCGACCCAAAGCGATTAGCCAATCCGGGCCTGAATATTTCACAAAAAAACAAAGTATCGCCATGACAGATTTATCCAATATGGTGCAGCCCTACTTTATAATAATATCTGCTCCAGACTGTCATGATGATCTAGATCTAGATGGATATATCAGCTAGATCTAAACCAAAGACATCACATTGACAGACATTATCAGTGCGGCAGTGGAAGAGTGTGTGTATGATGACTGATCAACTGATCAACAGATGTGTGTTGAACTGCAGATGAGCACAGATAATCATCAGTGTGTCTCTGTGTCAGATGAAGTGGGCGCGCTGGTGTTTGACATCGGCTCTTTCTCCACCAGAGCAGGATACGCTGGAGAGGACTGTCCCAAGGTCAACACACACCTACACATACATCCTTCTGTTCATCTGTCCATCCATTCATCCCTTCATCTGTTAACGCCTATCAGCCAATCTAGCCATCTGTTCTGTTCATCTATCCATCAGTCTATATACACTTTCATTCATCTGTTCATCCATCCATCTGTTTATTCATCTATCAATCAAACTATCTGTCCATTTACTCTTCCATTCATCTGTGTGTCCATCCATCCTGATATCCTTTTGTCATCTCAGGCAATCCACCTGCCCACATTTACTATCCTTCTGTTAATGTCTGTCCATCAGTCAGTCCATCCATCTGTCCCAATATCCTTCTGATCATATGTTTGTCCATTCATCCATCTGTCCTTATATCATTCTGTTCATCCATCCATCCGTTTGTACATTCATTCATATATCCTTCTGTTAATGTCCATCCATGAGCCAGTCCATCCATCAGTCCACGTCCTTCTGTCCATCCATCCGTCCATCCATCCATCCGTCCATCCATCCGTCCATCCATCCATCCGTCCGTCCGTCCGTCCATCCATCCATCCGTCCGTCCTGCCGTCTGTCCATCCATCCATCCGTCCGTCCATCCATCCATCCATTCCCTTCTGTTAATGTATATCCATCAGCCATCCATCCATCCATCCATATATCCTTCTGTTAATGTCTATTTATCAGCCAGTACATCCATCAGTCCACATCCTTCTGTCCATCCTTCCATCCATCCATCCATCCCCTTATGTTAATGTCTATCCATCAGCCAGTCCATCCATCTGTCCATATATCCTGTCCCTATATTACTTTGCTCATCTATCCATCCATCTGTCCACCCATCCGTCCATCCATCCATCCATCCATCCATCCATCCGTCCGTCCGTCCGTCCGTCCGTAATTCTATCCATCTCTATATTATTTTGTTTATTCATCCATCCATCCATCTGTCCACCCATCCATCATTACATCCATCCATCCATCCATCCATCCATCCATCCATCCATCCATCCATCCATCCATCCATCCATCCCCTTCTGTTAATGTCTATCCATCAGCCAATCCATCCATCTGTCCATATATCGTGTCCCTATACTTTGTTTATCTGTCCATCCATCTGTTCATCCATCTGTCCACCCATCCATCCGTCCATCTGTCCCTATATTATTTTGTTCATTCAGTCATCCATTCATCTGTCCACCCATCCACCCATCTATCCGTCTTCCCATCCACCCATCCATCCATCCATCCATCCATCCATCCATCTGTCTACTCATCCACCCATCCATCCATCTCCTTTTGGTAATGTCTATTCATCAGCCAGTCCATCTATCTGTCCATATATTCTTCTGTTTATCCATCCATCCATCCATCCATCCATATATGCTTTTGGTGATGTCTATTCTTCCATCCATCCATCTTTCTTTTATTGTGTATCCATCAGCCAATCAATCCATCTGTCCTTAAATCCCTTTGTTCAGTGTCCATCTATTAATTTATCCATCTGTCCATCAATCCATCCTTCATCTGTCTCTCCACCCAACATCCATCCAGTTGAAGTGTGTACTGAACAGCTCATGATTACCGTTATGCTCCTTTTACGGTTCAGGCGGATTTTCCCACCACTATAGGAGTGAACGCCGAGGAGGAGGGGCCAGCGGACATGGGGGTGGAGCAAGAGAGCAACAGTGGGCGGAGCTACTACATTGACACCACAGCTCTGCATGTGCCTCGGGCAGGAGTAGAGCTGATCTCTCCACTGAAGAACGGCATGAGTACGACACAAACACTATTGAACATCAACTACACATGTTTATTTTCTGCATCTTAGAGTCTACTGTGTTCTTGACTAATCTCTGCTAGTTGAGGACTGGGATGCTTTCCAAGCCATAATCGACCACATCTACAGCAAACACATCAAATCAGAGCCCGGTTTACACCCCGTCCTGATGTCTGAAGCTCCTGTGAGTACATCCGTTTAGAATATAATGTCACCACTGAATTCAGTGCTTCAGTATATTCATTCAATTGGGAAAACAGCTCTTTCTTTTGCAGATTATTTCATTCACAAATAACCTACTGTCATAATTTTTCTTCATTTACCCCTACTTATTTGGGATTAGTAACCAACTTCTCGAATAAAAATGAAAAGACTCACTCTGATTGAATCACTGAATCTGTGAGACGTTGAATCAAACTGAAAAAATGATTCATTCTGATTAATTTGAACCGATTCAACAGGTAGAAAGAATCAGTTTGTTCATGAATCAGACATTACTACTATCATACACTCGGCGCAGTGTGGCGCAAGGCGCGACGCAATAGTTGTTTGCTAGTTTCAGCTTGCCGCAAGATTGGTTTTGACGTTTTGCAGCACGCTGTTTAAATAGCAAATGCATTTGCGCTCATATGTGCGCCCATAGGGGGTCTGATCTGAAAAAGGAGGCGTGTTGAGGTGTATTGCTGGCGTGTTGCTATTTTGAGAAACTATAATAGGCTGTTCAATAGACCAGAACAAAGTCTAAAGTCCAGCGCAGAGAGCGTTAGTTGTGCGCCTCGCTTACACACTGCTTAATAAACACAAGATGTAGAGCAATACGCAAATATCTTTACACATGAAAAAGAACTAAAATATTAAGGATATATATAGGATATAATAAGAATAGATATAGGATATAAATATAAAGGATTAAAATATTACAAAACATATTATTTTCAAGCGTACGTAAATAAAAAACCCAAACTTTCATGCCTTCTTCATCTCAGGGGGCTTTTTCAGTTCATTCATAACAATTTGCTTCTGTATAATGTTATTATTATTAGCAGTATTATTTATTATATCCATATTTATATTTGTTTAATTAAAAACAAGCTTAGATTTGTCCACCTGTCAGGTTTCAGACCATATGGGGCACAGCATGTGTTTTAGGATATAACTCAGGTTTTTGAGCACACTTCATTATTATTGTTCATTTATTCATTTGCTGGAAATTAGAACTGAATTTAGAAATAGTTTTGAAACGAATATTTGTGATTAACAAACGAAATTAATTATTTATAGGCTAATGGATGTCTGTACGTTCAGCACGTTTCCCTATCCACGAGGGTGAAAGTGAAAGTAAATAATGAGGAGGCTCATCTCTCATTCTCGGGCTGCAGATGCTCTGTTTGACTGTTTTCTCTCTAGTGACGTGTTCAGTTTTTACACTTACAAAGTCACCATGTAAATAGTAAATACACCATGGCGCGACACAAAGGTAATGGGAGATGAGACTCTGATTGGTTTATTCTCAAAACACACCTATAACTCATTAAGAGAATAAGCTCAACCCTGTTAGACCATGCGCCACGGCGCAAAGCAGATTTTTCCGTCCTTATATTAGCAAATGTGGATTCAGACACGCCCTTAATGCGTTTGCGCCCTGCGCTTTGCACTTTGCGCATGGATCATCAAAACAGAGCCCTATATCTTAGAGTATTGATTTCTTCTGTTCAAAACTACTACTAATATTATATTTCGGTGAAATTTGCTGGACTGGAAATGTCAATATTATGCTTTGGAATGTAGTAAAGCAAAAGTTCCCCAAATAACAAAATACATGATTAAGGACAAACTGATTGAATTGAACGCGATTTAAAAATTAAACAAAACTAATCAGAAGCATGAGTTCTGTGAAATAAGAATGAAACGACAGAAAGAGAAAGGATTAAAATACAGAAATGTGTTCAATGCTTTGTATAAAGGCTGTTTTGGTGCTGCAGCTTTAAAGACGCCTCTCATATGGAGAATGAAGCCTCATGCATTGCTCAGGTGTGAGTTTCTCACAGACTTCAACGGAGTGTCGAACTCTTGATGCTCCTGTGGGTCTCGTCTATCAAATCTGAGCTTTGTTCTGTATTTTCTATTGCAGGGGTCGGGAACCTTTTTTCCATTTTAGATTTTTTGCCAAATGCATTTTTTTAAAGAGCCATTGGGGATATATATGAAGCATCACATGTTGAGGAAGTCCATGTATCAAGAAAGGATAATATATAGATTTTTTTCTTTTCACCATCAACACACATGAATGTTGCTTGAATTTATGTGCGCAAGCTTACCATAGAAATGTCTCATGCCCTTAATTGTTGTCGCGTTTCAAGGTAATTCACAGCGCCGCACATGTGCATTTGTTGAAGCGTCCTTTTATTCATATTAATTTTGCAGTAAAAATATACAATAAAAAAGTTATTTTGATTGTATTTTCAATAGGAAGCTGATTTTTAGTCACAGTTAAACATTTTTAATAAAGGAGACAGCTGGAGAGCTAGATATTTTTGGTCAAAGAGCCACATGTAGCTTCGGAGCTATAGATTCCCTACCCCTGCTCTATTGGATTGGGGTCGGGTGATTGGCTGGGCCATTCTACAGCTTGATTTTCTTTCTCTGAAAGCATCTGAGAGTCTCCTTGGCTGTTTTGGATCATTGTCTTGCTGAAATGTCCACCCTGGCTTCATCCTCCTGCTAATGTAGATGCTGGACTGAATCAGCTGATATTCATCTACACTGAGGAAGGGCAGAGGCTTGCTGAAGAACTACTGAGAGATTTCAGCTGCTGTCTGGGCTTTCCCTGCTTAACTACACCTCCCTTTCTTCATGTGTTCAATACTTTTCCCTGCGACATTTCATTTTATTACACAGAACTTCATTTATAAACTAATTATATTCGTTTTCTTTGCATATATGAGGATTTATTTGATTGTTTCCAACATCTAGGGAAAATTTCAAGTCAACGGCACCTTAAGAAATATGCTTTCTGAGAAAAATGGTGACGTGTTCAATACTTATTTCCCCCGCTGTATTTACTTTTATGTTCGACAGAAAAAAAAGATCCTCAAACTAATTCATAACAAGTCAATGATTTTTGTTGAACTGTCTCTTTAAGTCCTGTCTGAGATTTGCATGACCTGAGCGATGCATTTGCAGTATATTCAAAGATTTTCTCACCTCCATCTCTCTTTTGTGACAGTGGAACTCGCGAGCCAAGAGGGAAAAACTCACAGAGCTCATATTTGAGCATTACAACATCCCCGCTTTCTTCCTGTGCAAAACAGCCGTGCTCACCGCGTATCCAATCAGAGCGCAGCACTCAGGGACGTCAGCCAATCACAGTGCAGTTGCTCATGTATTAAAGGCAGGCTGATGATGTCATGATGTTTGTACCTCACCTTAACCTGATCGACTGCAGCTTCGCCAACGGTCGAGCCACGGGCCTGGTGCTGGACAGCGGAGCCACGCACACCACCGCCATCCCTGTGCATGATGGGTACGTCCTGCAGCAAGGTAAAGACCAGAGTGTTCGTTACTTTAAGTCACAGAAACGACACATCACAACATATGGGGGATTCTAGAATTGAATCGTAATTTTTACACGACAAAAAAAATCAATTTGTGTTGGGACCAGGCACGTGTACACATAGGGCTCAACCTGAGCAGTGCACATGCCCCTTTTAGTCTTGGATTGAAAGTGCCCTTCCAAAATGATCAAAAGTGCCCCCGCGACACCCCCCCTGCCCCCCACGCCCTTCAGTAGGCGCGCGACAACACCGCTCTTGAGTACGCGCGCTCCCCAAACCCCTCCCCCCTGCTTTACAGTACACATGGAACAACATCGCTGATCAGAATGCGCACAACAACACCGCTCTTTAGTACTACTACGACTACGACTACGACGACGGCGGCAGTGGCTGCGACAACAACAACTAACCAATTTGGCACCCTAGGTAAGATTTCAGGTGGCGCCCTGTCACATCGCAGTAATTTCACTGCTAGTGTACAGTCATAAGAAACTAAATAGCTTTTTGATCGACTACTACAAGCTGGGAAAACGTCAGATAAATATGCCAAGGCAATTAACGTTACTGCTGAATAGATCTAATGTTTACACATTTGCTTGAGGAAGAAATGATAGGGGTAGTCACATTACTATTACTATTTTCCATAACATCAATGCAATATTGACAATAAAATAAAAGGTTTAACCCATTAAAATTAATGGCCTATACAGAAATTAAATAAAGCTATAAAATCTACTTCACTTTAGATTGTATTTGCATATTATGGAGACCCAGAAGGGACGTAGTGGAGGAGATAAAAATTGGCATGGATATATACATTAGATGTCGCCTGGCCTATTGTTGTCTATTGGATGGAATGCGTCAATAGCGCCGCCATCTTGGTACAGGGTAGCGCTCCTTTGAAATGAATGCGGGACCAAGGTACAGTGGAGGGCTGTGGCCATCCAAAGCCAGAGATATACACATATACACATATATCTGTGATCGGGAGTTTTCCTGGATGTTAGTATGCAATTTTTTTTTTCTATTTACGAAAATTATAATTTTACATCACTTTTCTACATTGATGGATCAGTGACCGCACGGGCATTCCTGACAAAAAGCTTGTGTTTGTGTGTACAGAAATGTACTATTCACCTTCCCTGTTAAATGTGATGTAATCATGTCCTGAAACACAGCTCCTCTCCTGCTTTCACTGCTCATACTGATGAAGGGAGCGATTCGCTTGTGAATGAACGACTCGTTCACTAGTCGACAATAATACAACTGTTTGGCAGCGCAGCATCTCGTTGTCATATTTCTTTTGCATTGTTTGCTGATTTTATTTAACAAAACTAGCATAAGCCGAGTGTTTAGTGCGAGTTGGTGCTGCTTTGCCGTATGGTGAATGCAGTAAGTGACGGTATTATCATCAAAAACGTTACCTGATTAGCACAAATTTCAAAACATACAAAAACGTAAAAAACTTAATCCTATGAAATGTTCTGCCTTTGTGCTTTGTTTTCTTTGTTTGCTCGTTACTACACCCGTAGACAGCGCTAAAGTCCCGCATCTTCATGTAATAACACCGTCTTGACTAGTACGGTAGAATGACATTTGTCCTGGGAGCACTGTACCAATGTGGCGGCGCTATTGACGCATGCTCAGGGTCCCTATGCGATATCTAGTGTATATATCTATTAAAAATTGGTAGGGTGAAAAAAAATAATGGGTAGGAGAAAAAAAATGGGTGAAATAAAAAAAATGGGTGGGAAGAAAATATATATTTCTAAGTTTTTGCGTTCTCTCGCAAAGTTTTGCGTTATCTGGCAAAGATGTTTTGTGTTCCCTCAAACACTTCCTGTTCACTTCACTCACTTAAAGCCTCCTGTTTTTGACGAAATTCTCCCATATTTTACCATCCTATCCCACTTACATTACTCACTTGTGTGATAACAGAGATGTCACTTTAAATAGCGTGTATATAAGCTGATCTGGGATCAGTTTATTGTACGGAGCGCGTCTGTCAGTCAGCGCTGACATGCATTCACAGATTCAGAGGATGCATATAAAAGGCGACGATCGACCCACAGCTTTAATGTAAAGAGAGTGAATGCAGACATTTTAATATTAATTTGAGCGTGCTTTCAAGATTAAACATATATCAGAAATATGGGAAAATACTTAATGATAGGATGATAGTGGAATAGGATGGTAAAATACGGGAGAATTTCGGCAAAAACGGGACAGTTTACATGAATGAGAACCGGAAGTGTTTGTGGAGAAACAGTTTTGCGAGGGAACGCAAAACAAAAGCTTGAAAATGTGTTTTCCTATCACCCTGTTTTTTTCTCCTACCCAGTTTTTTTTCTTCCACCAAATTTTTTTTTCCCACACCTATTTTTTTCCCCACCATCACGTCCCTTCCGGGTCTCCGTAGCATATTGATTAAAGTTCCTATAGTTATTTAGTGGAGAGCAGCAGATGAATCTCTCATTGTGCTTTGTTTGATAACAGAGGTGTTCATGTAAGAATGCACAGATCTATAATGAAGCATTCGACTACTTTAGTAACTGTTTGTGCTCGTTAAAGAGAAAATTAGTAGTGCTTAAAATAAAACACGAAGGACGGAGCAAAAAAAAAAAGAAAACGAAAAAAAGAAGCACTTTTCCGACGGTCCCTTACTGAGAACTCCTCTCAGCGTAAGCTCTCCCGGCTAAACGCAGATTGCGAGGGCTTAAACGAAGCAGTGGTCGTAATGTCAAGCGGGAAAAAAAGAAAAAGACAGCTGTGAAACATAACCAGCTTTGTCTTTTTGTTGGAAACACACTTTAGATCTTTTTAGAGTAAGAGTTTTTTTGAGTTATTGCCGTCTGTCACTGAATGTGTGAGGAATATCGAAAACAAAACCAACTTACCCCCGCTCATTTCTGGCGCCGCCTGGATGTGCAGTGCCCTTAGCATTTGCCTATACTGCTTATGCCACGGGCCGGCCCTGGTTGGGACAGACAAAAAGTGAATGAGTTTGTACATATTTAAGTGGATCGAAAATAAAACAATAAAGTTGTCTCACAAAACAAAACAAAAACTCAAGAATTGTGCTGTTTCAGCTCTTTTCAAACGAGTAGTTAGAACAAACACCAAACATGGAGAGGGGTCTGGATGCAGTGCAATCTGAGCTGCACCCAATGCTTTTTAATGGACTTCCCTAGCCACACCCCTAACCCTAGCCCTCACAGTGACGTCACTCGATCCATTTGAGTGCATCTGACACTGCATCGCTGAGTGATGCATTCTCAGCTTGCATCATGAAGGCTGCATCCAGATACTATTGCAAACATCTGACTGAAGGATTAAATATGATACTCAATGCAAGACTCGTTTCAGAATTGAAGACGTATTTTATTAATTCGTTAATTTTTCTTCAGTTTAGTCCCGTATTTATCAGGGGTGGCCACAGTGGAATGAACCGCCAACTTATCCAGCATATGTTTTACACAGCGGATACCCTTTCAGTCGCAGCGCAGTACTGAGAAACACCAATACACACTCATTCACACACAAACTCATACACTACGACCAATTTAATTTATTCAATTGACCTATAGACTCGAACCAGCAACCTTCTTGCTGTGAGGCCACCGTGCAAACAACTGAGCCAGCATTCTCCATTAGTTTACTTTAAACTGGAATGATATAGAACAAATGTACAATTTGCAGCAAGTTGAATTCATTAAGGGCAACACGCTGGCTCAGTGGTTAGCACTGTGGCCTCACAGCAGCAAGGTCGAAGGTTCGAATCCCTGTTGGCATTTCTGTGTGCATGTTTTCCCCGTGTTGGTGTGGGTTTCCCCCACAGTCCAAACACATGCGTATAGGGGAATTGATGAACTAAATTAATCGTAGTGTATGAGTGTGTGTGAATGAGTGTGTATGGGTGCTTTCCAGTACTGGGTTTCAGCTGGAAGGGCATCCGCTGCATAAAACATACACTGGAATAGTTGGTGGTTCATTCCGCTGCGGCGACCCCTGATGAATAAAGGGATGGAAAATCAATGAATGAATGAATATCAGGAGGGCTAATAACTTCTGAAATCAACTGTGATTCTGAAATCCTGAATCCGTATGAATGCAGAGACAGTAGAAATAGGTATAGTGGGAGTCTTTAAGTTATTATTTTACACCCAAAACGTCTGTAAATACAACTTGATATCAATTGTGTTGTTATTCTCTAATCTGCTTTAATACCTGTTTCATTAAAGTCTTTAATCAAGGAGATGTAAAATGTTCCCACAGTTCTAAAATCCTCCATAAACACACACACACACACACACACACACACACACACACAAGCGCACACACACACAAACACACACACACACACACTGTGGGTCTGTGTTTTGTGTGTGTTCAGGGATCGTGAAGTCTCCTCTGGCCGGGGACTTCATCAGCATGCAGTGTCGAGAGTTGTTTCAGGAGATGAACATCGACACCGTTCCTTCATACATGATCGCGTCAAAGGTAGTGCGTGTGTTTCATTTCATTCTGCTTAGTCCCTTTATTTATTAGGGATCACCACAGTGGAATGAACTGCCAACTATTCAGAATATGATTTACAGAGCGGATGCCCTTGCAGTCGCAACCTAGTACTGGGAAACACCCAAACACACTCATTTTTACACACACTCGTACACCATGGCCAATTTAGTTCATCAATTCCCCTATAGCGCATGTGTTTGGACTGTGGGGGAAACCAGAGCATGTGGAGGAAACCCACACCAACACGGGGAGAACATGCAAACTCCACACAGAAATGCCAACTGACCCAGCCGGGACTCGAACCAGCGACCTTCTTGGCGCCACAGTGCTAACTACTGAGCCACAGTATCATCCTAGTGTGTGTGTTCTGTTTTTCTCTGTGTGTTTATATTTGAGTTCTGAATGTGTGTGTGTGTGTGTGTGTGTGTGTGTGTGTGTGTGTGTGTGTGTGTGTGTGTGTGTGTGTGTGTGTGTGTGTTTATCAGGAGCCCGTGAGGGAAGGAGCTCCGGCGATGTGGACAAAGAAAGACAAACTGCCTCCAGTCAGCAAGTCGTGGCACACGTTTATGTGTAATGTAAGAGTCCACAACGGTGTGTGTGTGCACGTGTGTGTGTGCACATGTGTGTGTGTGTGTGGGTGAGTGTATGTATCACTGTGACAATGGATTTGACTGTTTCAGGAGGTGATCCAGGACTTCCAGGCGTCTGTGCTGCAGGTGTCTGACTCTCCGTACGATGAACAGTGAGTGAAACACACACACACACACACACACACACACACAGAAAAAAATTGTTCGCCCTCCTCTGAAATTTGTTTTCTTTTACAAATATTTCTCTAGAGCTGTTCAACAGAGAGATGATTTGGTGACACTTCACTTGAAGGGGTGTTCATAAGGCTGTCATTAAACCTTTATAATCATGACATCACACATGAATGACGTCATGAATGTAAATGAGATTTCATGTATGCTTATAACTAATGTCGTGAAGTGTTATAAGCATGCATAAAGTCTCATTGACATTGATGTTGTCAATCATGTGTGATGTCATGATTATAAAGGTTTAATGACAGTGTTGGTGGTTCATTCCGCTGTGGCAACCCCTGATGAATAAGGGACTAAGTCAAAGGAAAATGAATGAATGAATGGCTGTATTCCCTTGTTCTGAACAAAACAAAAAGTTCCCTTCCTCTGTTAAACTGCACTGGGGAAATGTATAAAAAACATCAAAAATTCACCGGAGGGCTAATAATATTGACTGTATATGAATATTGTGTGTATATGACCTGAATGTGTGTGTATTTATGTGTGTATGTGTGATCAGGGTGGCTGCTCAGATGCCAACAGTGCATTACGAGATGCCGAGCGGATACAGCACAGATTTTGGAGCGGAGCGTTTGCGGATACCGGAGGGTTTGTTTGATCCATCTAATGTGAAGGTAAATTATAGACCAGCGTCTGCTGATCTGCTCTAATCAGAGATGATTCTTAACTAGGAGCAACAACAAGCATAACATCTGCTACAAATCAAAACACTTCCTATTTCAATCCATTCCTCCAACAAACATCACTTAAGTTTAAACTAAATCCCCAAAACCTGTCGCTAGATCTATTAACAAAGTCACTGTAAGTTTAGACTGCATCTTATCCAGTCTAAAGCTGATGATATGAAAAAGTTGCCATGTGTATCATAAGCATGAGCTAGGATTTGATTAGCATAAGCTAATCATTATAAGCATGCCTTGTTAATACCAATCTCTTCTTTTTTATGCATCCAAGAAAATTCTAAGCCATTAAAAATTGCATACATTGGAAAATTTTAAATTGAAAGAGTGAATTCCAGACATGGGAAGTCAAAGAAATGAGAAAGATTATGAAAAGTCTCAAGAACTAACCAACCAAACCAAACCAAACCAAACCCAACCCAACCCAACCCAACCAAACCAAACCAAACCAAACCAAACCAAACCAAACCAAAACAAAACAACCAACCAAACCAAACTAACCAACCAAACCAAACCCACCAAACCAACCAACTAACCAAACCAAACCAAACCAAACCAAACCAACCAACCAAACCAACCAAACCAACAACCCAACCAAACCAAACCAACAACCCAACCAAACCAACCAAACAAACCAAACCAACCAACCAAACCAAACCAAACCAACCAAACAACCAAACCAAACCAAACCAACCAAACAAACCAAACCAACAACCCAACCAAACCAAACCAACCAAACCAAACCAAACCAACCAAACCAACCAAACCAAACCAACAAACAAACCAAACCAACAACCCAACCAAACCAAACCAACCAAACCAAACCAAACCAAACCAACCAACCAACCAAACCAAACCAACCAAACCAAACCAAACCAAACCAAACCAAACCAAACCAACCAAACAAACCAAACCAACAACCCAACCAAACCAAACCAACCAAACCAAACCAAACCAAACCAAACCAACCAACCAACCAAACCAAACCAACCAAACAAACCAAACCAACAACCCAACCAAACCAAACAACCAACCAAACCAAACCAAACCAAACCAAACCAAACCAAACCAAACCAAACCAACCAACCAACCAAACCAAACCAACCAAACCAACCAAACCAACCAAACCAAACCAACCAAACCAAACCAAACCAAACCAAACCAAACCAAACCAACCAAATCAAACCAACCAAACAAACCAAACCAACCAACCCAAACCAAACCAAACTAAAAACCCAACCAATAAACCAACCAAACCAAACCAACCAACCAAAGCAAACAACCCAACCAAACAGAATCGAACCAAACCAAACCAATCAACCAGCCAACAACCCAAGTCAACCAAACCACCAAACCAACTAAACCAACAACCCAACTCAACTAAACCAACCAACCAACGAAACCAAACCAAACAACTCAACCAAACCCAACCAACCAACCAACTATCCAACCAATCAACAACCCAGCCAAACTAAAACCAAACCAACCCGAACCAAACCAAATAACCAAACCAACTAACCAACCCAACTAAACTGACCAACCAACCAACCAACCAAACAACCAACAAAACCAAACCAAATCAAGCCAAACCAACAACTCAATCCAACCCAACCAACCAATCAACTAAACCAAACCAATCAACCAACCAACCAACCAACCAACCAGTTAACAACCCAGCAAAACCAAACCAACCAACCAACCAACCAAACCAAACCAACAATCCTACCCAGCTAAACAGATCAACCAACCAACCAACGAAACCAAATAAAACCAAGCTAAACCAACAATTAAACCAATCAACCAAACCAATCAATCAACCAACCAAATAATACCAAACTAAACCAATAGTATCTGGATGCAGCCTTTATGATGCAAGCTGAGAGTGCATCACTCAGCGATGCAGTGTCAGACACAATGCACTCAATGGAGTGAGTGACGTCACTGTGACGGGTAGGGTTAGGGGTGGGGCTAGGAGAGCGCATTAAAAAGCATTTGCATCCAGACCCCTCTCAAATAAACCAAACCACACCAAGCCATGCCAAATCAACAAACCAAGTTAGTAATTAGTAGTGAGGGTGTTATCCAATCTTTAAAAAATAAAGAATCTTAAGACACAGTGAGATTATATTTCTAAAATTCTGCTGGTAAATTACTTAATATTTACTTTCCATTATAGCAGCTGAAATCACATGTTGAGAGTCACAGATGAGGATTAAGAGAGAGAGTGTGTATGTGATGCTGATATGCGTGCTGTCTGTCTGTGTTCTCAGGGATTGTCCGGTAACACCATGCTGGGTGTCGGACACGTGGTCACCACCAGCATCGGCATGTGTGACATCGATATCAGACCGGTAGAACAGAACAAATAATCTCCAGTCATAAATGATGTGAAGTGCACTTTGTTAGTGTTTCATATTGATGTGTGTGTGTGTGTGTGTGTGTGTGTGTGTGAAGGGTCTGTACGGAAGTGTGATCGTGACAGGAGGAAACACACTTCTGCAGGGCTTCACAGAAAGACTCAACAGAGAACTGTCTCAAAAAGCACCACCGGTGAGCTCCTGATCTCTGTCTGATAACTGTCAGATCATAATCTCAGTCTGATCTCAATCTAAACTCAATCTGATCAATCAATCTGATCTCTGTTCAATTTGAATTTTATCTAATCTCTGTTTGACCTCAGTCGAAATTTGTTCTGATCATTGTCTGATCACAATTTGATCTTGATCTAAAGTCAATCTGATCTCTGTTTGAACTCAATCCGACCTTCAATTTGAATTTAATATGATCTCTTTCTGATCTCACTATAAATGTATTCTGATCTTTCTGATCTCAATGTAAAGTTAATCTCATCTCTGTCTGATCACAATCTGATCTCAAACTAAACTTAATCCGATTTCTGTCTAAACTCAATCCGATTTCTGTCTAAACTCAATCTGATTTCGTTCTGAACTCAATCTTATCTAAGTTTGAACACATCTCAATCTAAAATCATACTGTCACTTTCTGATCTCAATCTCAAATAATCTGATATCTGTCTGATTACAATCTGAACTCAATCTGAATGCAATCTGGTCTCTGTCTGGTGTCAGAATTAATTCTGATCTCTTTCTGATTAAAATCCAAAATCAATCTGAACTCAGTTTGATCACTTGATTTTTGTCTGATCCCTGCCTGATCAACATCTCAGTCCAATCTTAGTTTTGATTTTGAGTCTGATTGCTGCCTATTTTTAGTCTGGTCTCAATTTGATTTCTGTCTGATCACAATCTGACCCCAATCAAAACTCAATTACCTCAATTTGAATTTAATCTGATCTCTTTCGGATTTTAGTCTGAATTTATTCTGATCTCAATCTAAACTCAGTCTAATTTCCATATAAACTTAATATGATCTCTGTCTGATCTCAATCTAAAATAATCTGATATCTGTGTGATCTCAATTTGAACTTTTTGATCTAAATCCAAACTCTGTCTGACCATTTGATTTTGGTCTGATCTCTGACATCTGAACTCAGTGTGTTCTCGGTCTAATTTCAAATTGATCTAAATCTGAATTCTATCTGATTGCTGCCTGTCTTCAGTCGGATCTTATTCTGAACTCAACCTCTAATGTCCTTCTGTGTCTGCAGAGCATGAGACTGAAGCTCATCGCCTGTAACAGCTCCATAGAGAGGAGATTCAGCTCCTGGATTGGAGGATCTATTCTAGCTTCACTGGTGAGATTTGAAGTAGATTGACAACCATTTTAATTTTGTATTCTGTGATAAAACAAGCTTCCATACAGTTAGTTTATATTTCTCCAGTGCCATAATGCATTTGAACTCAGTCTGATTAAAATCTGATTTCTGTCTGATCTTAATCTAAACTCTGTCTGATCTCAATTTAAACTCAATCTGATTTCAATTTAAACTGATCTAATCCTGTCTGATCTAATTTTGAACAGACTGATCTCAATTTAAAGTTTATTTAAACTCTGGTCCTAATCTGAAATTTATCTGATCTCAATTTGAACTAAGTGTCATCTCAGTTGAACTCAATCTGATCTCTTTTTGGTTTCAATATGAACTCAATCTGATCTCTGTCTGGTCTCAATATGAACTCAATCTGATCTCTGTCTGGTCTCAATATGAACTCAATCTGATCTCTGTCTGGTCTCAATATGAACTCAATCTGATCTCTGTCTGGTGTCAAATTGAACTCAATCTTTTCTCTTGCTGATCTCAATATAAACTCAGTCTCATCTCAGTTTAAACTCTGATTTGTCTGATCTTAAACTGAACTTGATCTGATTTCCGCCTGGTCTTAATCCAAACTCAGTCTGATCTGAATTTTAACTCTGTCTCATCTCAATTGGAATTCAATCTGATCTGTATGATCTCAATTTGATTTTGAATTGATCTCTGTCTAGTCTTAATCTGAAACTGATCTGATCAAAATTTGAACTCAACCTGATCTCAATTTAAACTTAGTCTCATCTCAATTTGAACTCAATCGGATTTCTGTCTGGTGTCAATTTGGACTCAATCTTTTCTCTTTATAATCTCAATTTCAATTTAGTCTCATCTCAGTTTGAACCCAATCTGATCTCCGTCTGGTTTCTGTATGAACTCAATCTGATGATCTCCGTCTGGTTTCAATATGAACTCAATCTTTTCTCTTTCTGATCTCAATATTAGCTCAGTCTCATCTCAATTTGGACTCAATCTTTTCTCTTTATAATCTCAATTTCAATTTAGTCTCATCTCAGTTTGAACCCAATCTGATCTCCGTCTGGTTTCTGTATGAACTCAATCTGATGATCTCCGTCTGGTTTCAATATGAACTCAATCTTTTCTCTTTCTGATCTCAATATTAGCTCAGTCTCATCTCAATTTGAACTCAATCTAATTTGTCTGATCTTAAACTGAACTTGATCTGATCTCTGTCTGATCTCAATTTAAACTCAATCTGATCTCCGCCTGGTCTCAATCTGAACTCGATCTGATCTGAATTTTAACTCCGCCTCTGTCTGAACTCAATCTGATCTGTCTGATCTCAATTTGATTTGATCTGTCTAGTCTTAATCAGAACTCATTCTGATGTCTGTCAGGTCTCAATCTGATCTCTTTCTGGTCTCAACATGACCTCAATGTGCTTATCTCAATATGAACTCAGTCTCATGTTAATTTGAAGTCGATCTGATTTGTCTGTTCTAATTTGAACTTGATCTGATCTCAATCTGAAACAGCAGATACTCTGAGATACACAGAGCAAACAGACTTGCACACATCTACAGATTGAGAATTAAGTGGATCTGCACTGACCTGAGCTGTGATCATCCACAGGGAACCTTCCAGCAGATGTGGATCTCGAAGCAGGAGTATGATGAGGGCGGAAAACAGAGTGTGGAAAGGAAATGCCCCTAAAACACACACACACACACACACACACACACACACACACACACACACACACACACACACACACACACACACACACACACACACACACAAACAAAAGCGCATGCGGTCTGTGGAATGGTATGCCCTTCACCCTGAACTGCTGAATTATGTTTGTAAACAAACCACACATCTTTACAGTAACTCTGTGTCGCTTGCTCTGTCAGATACCTAATAAACTCAGAAATGGCCCAGTGTGTTCAAGACACTTCATTCATGCTGAGAAATGAGAAACCACTACATATGAAGTCATCTCTGGCTGATCATCATTCAATTGATCGATCAAAACCATTAATTCAATAAAATCTAAATATCTGACTTGAGGCAATTTAAAGATCATTAAGCCCATTTACATCCTTAATTGCAATAAATTATACATGCACACACACACACAGATATAACAGATGTATACAAATATACATTATGTATACAAATATAGCCTACATAGTAGGGCTGCACAATATACTGTTTCAGCATCGATATCACAATGTGATCAATAGTCACATCACGAGGATGCGCAATGTTGAGGCCTGTGACTGTGTAAGGGTTTTAAAAGCATTCAGGCCTTAGAAATTGCACGGTTTGTAACTTTGACATATTAATAACGATTGAACTGCTTATAAAACGAAGACTATGCAGCATTATTTTACATCTGATTATTCAATTACTGTACTTCTGAATTCAGATCGACTCATCGGAAAACAATTGTTTAATTAATGTGTCTCTTTTTAAATTAGATTTATCCACCCTTGCAGATTGTTTCCTTTTATGCAAATGCATTTTATGCAAATGTACTCCCCTACAAAATCATCCCAAACAATGTAAAATTATATATTTTTTTCCAAATAGTTATCTGACTCACCAAGTTGAAATTGTATTAATATCGCAATATATATCGCAGAATAAAAAATATTGCAATGTTAGATTTTCAACATTGTGGAAATATCGTATATATAAACAATTGTAACACTGAATGACATTTTAGTGAATTTTATATATATTATATATCATTATTATACACACACACACACACACACACACAGTTGAAGTCAGAATTATTAGCCCCCCTGGTTTTTTTTATCAAATTTATTTTTGCCCTTTTTTGCCTTTATTAAGTAGATAGGACAATATTTCAGACAGGAAGCAAGGTGGGAGAGAAAGAGGGGGTAGGGACGGAAATGTCCTCGAGCCGGGATTCAAACTCAGGACGCCCTGAAGTACTACGGCACCATATGTCATTGTGCTAACCACTAGGCCAGTGGTCACCAAACTTGTTCCTGGAGGGCCGGTGTCCTGCACATTTTAGCCCCAACCCTAATTAAACACACCTGAACAAGCTAATCAAGGTTTTGCTAGGTATACTTGAAACATCTAGGCAGGTGTGTTGAGGCAAGTTGGAGCTAAACCCTGCAGGGACACCGGCCCTCCAGGACCGAGATTGGTGACCCCTGCACTAGGCTATTACACCAACAGTCCCCCTGATTAATAAAAAAACAAATAATTCTGATTTCAACCGTGTAAATTCAAATCTATATTTTTAGGCTGCCTTAAATATTTAAGCTGAATCAAATTAACTTTATCAGTCATTTCAACAGTACAATCAAACTGACTAAGAATATTAAGTTAAACTTTGTATGACTTGATTAACTTCAGTTAAAGCAACATACAAATATTTGTTGTCTTGTCTTGACTTGAGTACTTTTTTAGTGTAGAACCTTGCAAAAAAAAAAATAGTAAAATGTTATTTACTGTCATCATGACAAACACAAAATAACTGAGTTATTATTAAAACTATTATGTTTAAAATTGTGTTGAAACAAATCTCTGTTAAACAGCACTTGGGAAATATTTGAAAAAGAAAACTAATTTTAGGGTAAACTACCTGTAATTTCTTTTTATTTTAATAGCCAGACCTCTCTGAACCACATGAAACCTACAAAGAATAATTCTAATATATGTTCAAACTATTAAAAATATTCAAACATTACGAACAGATTACATATATACCACAGGTAAACACCAAACTGCAGCTTTAAGATGATTTATTCTATAAATGCAGGTTGTTACTAGAGACGGGATACAGCTGTTGCTGGAATTTACCAAGAATTATGTATATTATTTATTAAATTACCCCTTAAATTGTATTTTATTAATGTCTACCCCTAAACCCAAAAGTCACTTTAAGATAAAAACAGTAATTATACCAAGTGTTATACATATTACTTATTAAATAACATTTGAAATGGTATTTAACTAATGTCTACCCAACCCTCACAGTGTAAAACAATAATTATTGTTACTCAGTATTACTGAGGATTATTAATATTATTTATAAAATTACCCATTAAATTGTATTTTATTAACGTCTACCTCCACAGTAATGTATAAACAGTAATTATGCCAAGAATCATTCATTTTATTTATTAAATTACTCATTAAATTGTATTTTATTAATGCCTACTCCAACCCTAAACCCAACCCTCACAGTAAACAGTAATTATATCAAGTATCATTCATATTATTTAATAAATTACACATTAAATTGTATTTTATTACCATCTACCCTTAAACCCAACCATCACTTTGAGATAAAAACAGTAATTATGCCGAGTATTATACATGGTATTTATTAAATTACACATTAAATTGTACTTTATTAACGTCTACCCCTATACCCAATCCTCAAAGTAATGTAAAAACAGAAATTATACCAAGTATTGTTCATGTTATTTATTAAATTAACCATCTAAATGTATTTTTATTAACATCAACCCTCACAGTCATGTAAAACCCGCAATTATACAGGGTATTATTCACATTATTTATTAAATTACCTATTAAATTGTATTTTATTAACATCTACCACCACCCCATCCCTACATCTACCCCTCACAGTAATGTAAACATATTAATTACTGTTGTACAGCGTCACAATAATGATGCAATATTGACGTGAGTATCCGCAGCTGTATCCCTTCTAGACGTTACTATTAATACGCGAGATGAAGGTCGGCTGCCCTGGTAAATGTTCTAAGGACGGACGTCACTGTCGCGAGCGGCCTTGATCTGACGGCCACGCGATGACTTCACGGGAGATAATTGACGTTTAAATGCGGGATCAACAAACTGACGGAGCGGATTCGGCGCGCGCGCTCACGGTAAGCACAACTCACGGTGACTTTATTTCACGTTTTACAGGGCTTCAATTCAACTTTAAGATTCTTTAAGACCATTATAAATGACGTTTCAGACGTATACTGAGCTAAATGCGAATGATTTTCTTCTGATGTGTAAAATATTTGTTACTTGCTTCATCAAAAATGTTGAAATGAGCTATTTCTCAGCCAAATATTTCAGGTGTGTTAAAACAAGCAAACTCAAGAATTAAAATAATCAATAGAACTTTTCTTCTTAGCTATAAAACTCTAATGAACTAAATGACAACAGTTAGTCCAGGTCGGTAACCTCATAAATGGTCTATACAAGACGGAGAACATAATATCATTGCAAGGAAGATAGTTAATGCATATTAGTAAATAAATAGAGTTATAAATAAGTTTTAATGAAAGAGTTTTAGCCCAGCTGGGTAGCTTAACATTGATATAAAACAATTAAGATACTTTTAAAACGATTTAAATCCTACGAGACAAATTTTGTGAATTTAAGACTTTTTTAAAGGCTTTAATTCCTTGTTTTATTAAAGACCCTGCGGACACCCTGCTTTTGTCCTTTTATTTACCCCACCAAGAAATCAAAATTGGATTACATTGCTCCGAATGTCGCTAGTTAACACACTCAAATTTAATTTCATATTAATTTCATAATTTCTAAAATATCAGCCTTTATCAAATGGTTGAGATGTCCGTTTGTGGTAAAAGTGCCGAAATTAATATGAAAAATCTGAAAATATGAAGTGCAAAATATTTAAAATAAAAACATTTTGAATATTAAATCATCTTGATTTTTTGAAGTATGCCATAAATATTTCAGACTCTCATTTAACACGCTTTCTTGTTTTATTTATTTTATTTGTGTGTTTTTTTTTTTTTACAATAAAACCATAATCAAGAGTGGTAGTGCAACAGGATTATGTTAGATTTTTTTGTAAACCAACAATGCTGTGTGTGAAAGCCATTATTTACAACAGCCATTCTTTACATGACTTTTACAGTCATTATTTAAAACAGTAAAAACACGGTCAAGCGTTTGGTAGAGCAGCAGTATTAATATAAGTAACTACTTAAAATATTTATAAAAACATTATTAATCATTTTTTGAATTTAAAATGCAATAAAGAAGTTTGTAACAAGTGAGACCAGAAAATAGCCAAATTAAAAAAAAGGAAATTTATACAGCTGAAGCCAGAATTGTACATACACTCTAAAAAAGGGAACATAACATTTTACACACATTTGCTCTGTATTTTTTTAGCTTTGCTTTTAAACTGTATAACAGAAGTTTAAAAGCAAAGCTAAAAAACATATCTCAACATAAATCGAGTGAAAACCAAACTTGATTGAGGCTAGTGGCTAGTAGTCAAATTTATTTAATAATAATTATAAATTACTAGAAAAAATTGCGTTAAATGAACTAAAAAAGTATATTTTTTTTTTACATTTTTTAAATTAAATTATTACAGTAAAAACAAAACAATCTCATTTATAACAGAATTACACTGGCTTTTGCCTTGATTTGCTCACCGATGTGTTCTGCATAGTCCTCTATCTGTGGAGTGACAGTATTTACATTAAAAAAAAATCTAATTTATTTACATTTAATTGAAACATTTAATTTCAGTTTGTTTTTGCACAGCAATAAAACACAAAAAGGTCACGCCAAATTACAAATGACAATATCTGTGTTAAAGGATGGTGGACCAAATCAAAGGTTACAATGCGCCAACTTTGGCCCGCGGGCATTCATTCATTACATTTGTTTTTCCGGCTTACTCCCTTTATTATTCAGGGGCTGCCACAGTGGAATGAAACGCCATTGGAATGTTTTGCATATGCTGGATAAACATTTGCAACCCAACACTGGGAAACACCCATACACACTCATTCACACACACACTCATACACTACAGGCAATTCAGTGCATCAATAGTAAACCCAAATTGGGTAAAGTATATGGACTAACTCAAACATTGGGTTAAATTTGGTCTTAATTAATTATTAATTAATTATTAATTCTTAATTAATTAATAATAATTAATTAATAATTAATTAAAAATTTGAATTTACTCAGGGTGGCACAGTGGGTAGCATGATCGCCTCACAGCAAAAAGGTCGCTGGTTCGAGTCTCGGCTGGCGTTTCCGAGTTTGCATGTTCTCCCCGTGTTGGCGTGGGTTTCCTCCGGTTTCCCCCACAGGCCAAACAAATGCGCTATAAAGATTTAGAAATCGTAACCCATATGCTTTAATCTCCTCTCGGTTAGACTACTGCAACTCTGTACATTGGTCTACCTCAGTCAACACTCTCTCGGCTACAGTTAGTCCAAAATGCAGCCACCAGATTAATAACAGGAACTAAGAAAAGAGATCACATCTCCCCTGTCCTCGCCTTATTGCACTGGCTACCTATAAAATACAGAGTTGATGTTAAAATCTTTTTCTTTTCACTTATAAAGCGTTCCACAATTCTGCCCCGGCCTATGTCAGTGAACATATTAGGCCTTATTCAGCTTGTAGACCGTTAAGATACTATGACCAGTTGATTATATCCCTCGGTCTCGCTGCAAATCGAAAGGTGATCGAGCTTTTTTATTTCTTTTTTCTTTTATTATTTTTAAACATATGCATTTCCTTGTAATTTTAATACCAGTTTTTTAGTTTTATCGTCTAGTTTATTTTATTGTGAAGCACTTTGGATCAGCTATGGTTGTGTAAAATTGTGCTCTATAAATAAAGTTTGCCTTGCCTTGCTATAGGAGAACTGGGTTGTTAAAATTGTCCGTAGTGCACGTGTGTAAATGGGAGTGTATGGGTGTTTCCCAGTGATGGGTTGCAGCTGGAAGGGCATCCGCTGCTTAAAACATATACTGGATAAGTTGGCGGTTCATTCCGCTGTGGCGACCCTGGATTAATAAAGGGACTAAGCCGAAAAGAAAATGACTTAATAAATGAATGAATTAATAATTTAAATAATGTACCCAGGAGTTGGGTTAGACCCCATTACAGTCCCTATTAAATGCTAAAACACCTAAACAAATGCATTTGGTCTGTCCAGTGTAATTGTGATGTCCATGTCAAAATTTAAATAATTAAATTAATTAAAAACACCCAGAACTGGGCTGAAGTAACCCAGCATTTTTAGTGTGTTCTGATTATTCTGTGTGTTGAAACAGGAAGTTGATCATCTTGTGGGGTTCCTGCGATCTGATTGGATGGGTCTGACACTGTGCTGCTGGCTGAGAGACGGCCTTCCCAAAAATCGCAATCAATCCTCATCAGCATTCACCCCGTTTTCCGTGACTCCGCCCATTCGGCTTGCTGTGCTTTTAGACACGCCTCCTGTTGCCCCCGGAAACCCTCGATCACAGTGGAGTCCGACACACCTGTCTCCTAACCTACAGCGGTGCGTGTCAGGTGTCCGAGTGCATCGCGGACATGTGGAGCAGAGCAGTGATGCAGCCCGGGCTGCGATCGGCACGTCAACAGGTCTCCATATATGGGAGGTTAAGTGGGAGGGGCAACAAAGAGGAAGCCACGCCCTCCTGGGAGTGTCCACTCACAAATCCCCCCTGCAGGCATCGGGATATAAAGCACTTATAGGCGGAGACTCATGCTCCTGGGGCTGGGAGCTCTCAACCAATCAGCTGTGGCATGATGGGAAGGAGGGGAGGAGTTATCCGGGAGGCGGAGCCACAGGTGTTTTGAGCGTGCCAGATCGTGTGCTATTAGTGGTGGACGCAGATGCAGGGACGCTGGGATACGTAGTAGACGACTGCTATCTGGGCGTGGCCTTCCAGGATCTGCCCAAAGGGGTGGAGCTGTTCCCTGCAGTGAGCTGCGTTTGGGGCGGAGCTGAAATTTGCATACGCTACCTGTCCGGCACCACGCGTGAGTCTGAGCTTTACTAACAGTGCATACTTACTAGTGTGCATCTGACTACACAGGCTAAATATTCAGTCAGCTGTGCATGGAAACAAACACTAAACAAACACTCCTGCTACCTTACATTTTTAAGTTGAATCAAATAAACATTTCTAGAAATCTACAGAGACTAACATCCATCAAACCCACTGAAATATTAAGATAAACCTTGTCTATCTGTATTTATTCAAATTTAGCTTATTAAATTATTAGAAAAAGCAACATACAAATATTTGTTGTCTTAACTTTTTGTGATTCTTTTTAGTGTAGAAATGCATTGATCAGTGTGTGTGTGTGTGTGTGTGTGTGTGTGTGTGTGTGTGTGTATTCCTCAGGTGACGCACCTGCTCTTCAGGCTCTCAGTCGTCTCTCTGCACGGCGGGCTCTCAGACTCCACGGGACCCAAAACCACACACACTCCTTGCCTTCAGCTCTACAGCGCCTCCTGCTGGACACACACACACACCACAGGGACACGCCTGAACACGCACAAACTCAAATGTTACTGGTCACGTAAAGAGACATCCACACAATAAGATCTGCGGTGAAATGATTGCACAAATAACAATGCAATGATAAAATAACAACAGAATTTAAATGAAGCAGTAATAGAAGTAATATGGAGTACGTGACTGCAGAATAAAAGTACAAAGTGTAAAACATATACAGGGTTTCAGCAGGTTTCACAGAGCTAAATTTAGGACTTTCAGATATTTTAAGACCATTATGACTGAAATTTTAGACTCATAAAGGAATCTTTCAAATGGGCCGGATGGAAAAAAATTTTATTTGCTCTATCAAAAAATGCTTTATTATAATTTAATACATTTAATAACACAAAAATACATGAATAATTTTAAAAATAAATACTTTAGATTCAAAACATTTTAAAATATTGTGTAAAAACAAGCAAGCTACCCAAACACTTTTTTTTTCAACATAAACTCTTTAAAAAAATAAATAAAAAATGAACAAATGTTTTAAAAGTTTTAAAAACTAAAATAAACTAAATCTACATGGAGAACTTTAAATATATATATATATATATATATATATATATATATATATATATATATATATATATATATATATATATATATATATACAGTTGAAGTCAGAATTATTAGCCCCGTTGAATTATTAGACAGCTTGTTTATTTTTTCCCCAATTTGTGTTTAACGGAGAGAGGATTTTTACAGCACATTTACAAACATAATAGTTTTATTAACTCATTTTTAATAATGAATTCATTTTATCTTTGCCATGATGACAGTAAATAATATTAGACTAGATATTCTTCAAGACACTTCTATACAGCTTAAAGTGACATTTAAAGGCTTCACTAGGGTAATTAGTTTAACTAGGCAGGTTAGGGTAATTAGGCAAGTTATTGTATAACGATGGTTTGTTCTGTAGACTATTGAGAAAAAGAATAGCTTAAAGGGGCTAATAATTTTGTCCCTAAAATAGTGTTTAAAAAAATTAAAAACTGCTTTTATTCTAGCCGAAATAAAACAAATAAGACTTACCCCAGAAGAAAAAATATTATCAGACATACTGTGAAAATGTCATTGCACTGATAAAAAATTAAAACTTCATAATAAACATCATTTAGGAAATATTTTAAAAAGAAAAAAAATTCAAAGGGGGCTAATAATCCTGACTTCAACTGTACATCAGGAGTGGTGAAAATCGACTGCCTGTTTGGGTTTCAGAACTGTGATGCCAAAAATGGCTCAATAGCGCCACCTGTACACTTTCAACAGTGAAGTGTTTCATGTAGACGCACAAAAACTGAGATATGTGGAATAAATGATCTTTTTTATGTTAGATGCCTCTCACATATTTAATGATCTTTATGTAATTATCTTATTTAAATTAATTTCCTGTTCGTATAGTTTTGCAGACGTGTTCACGTTGTTGTTTTTTTGGTTTGTACACTTATCGAAAGAAGTCTCTGCTGTTCTCCAACGCTGCATTTATTTGATCAAAAATGCAGTTAAAATATTTCTGATTATTTTCGATGTTGAAAACGGTTCTGCTGCTTCACAATTTGCTGGAAAATCTACTGTTGTTTGTTATAAATGCATTTACTGTTACTTTATAAGGATATTTTTAATAGAATGATTTCTGAAGGACCGTGTAAATGATTTTATTACATGACATCAATGTTTTAAATTTGATTGATTCTATTTATTTTAATTATATATATATATATATATATATATATATTTTTTTTTATTTTTTTTTTTTATATATATAAATATTTATAGAAATAAACTGCTAACAGCATGATTAGGATGTCTGAAATCCTGCATAATAAAAGGTTTGGTTGAAATATCACAGTTGTTGTCCATGTTATTGTGTTCAATTAATATTCATTCATTTTCCTTCAGCTTAGTCCCTTTATTAATCTGGGGTCGCCACAGCAGAATGAACCGCCAACTAATCCAGCATATTTTTTAAACAGCAGATGCCCTTCCAGCTGCAACCCAGTAATAATAATAATAATAATTCCTTACATTTATATCGTGCTTTTCTGGACACTCAAGGCTCTTTACACATGAAGGGGGATCTCCTCATTCCCTACCAGTGTGCAGCATCCACCTGAATGATGCGACGGCAGTCATTTTGCGCCAGACCGCACACCACACACCAGCTGATTGGTGGAGAGGAGACAGTGATGAAGCCAATTATAATATAGGGATGGTTAGGAGGCCATGATGGACAGAGGCCAGTGTTATATTATTATAACACTGTTAATATTATTCTTATAACTTAAATTACACATTAAATAGTATTTTACTAACGTCTACCCCAAATCCAGCCCTCACATTAATGTAAAAATATGAATTATTGTTGTACAGAGTCACAGATGATGCTATATTGATGGGCGTATCCACAGCTGTATCCCTTCTAGACCTAGACAAAGACACACACATGCGCATACACAAACAGACCTGAAAGAAAAACACACGATGATTTAAGATTTTGGAGTTTTATTTTAAATATCATAAGCAGATATAAATAAGAGATTAAAATGGAAAGCATATCTTCATCATCAAGGCATCATCATCATCATCATCATCTCCAGACTCTCTGAGATCCTCCTCTGCGGTTCACAGATCTTCTGCTCTGCACAGATCGACCTCGCTGAGACGAAACACACACCTGAAACACACACACACACACACACACACACACTCGCCTTCTCAAACACTGGCCAACCAGATCAGCTGTACAGGTCATGTGACTGACAGCTGGTGTATATGAGGTCATGTTTAACACTGATGACATCACCATCCTCACGTGTGACATCACAGACACGCACAGCTCATACAAAAACATTCAGGGGACAAATGCTTTTAGATTAAAGATCTACAGTTATTAGCATGAGAATATGTGGGAAACTCATCCCATTACAATACTAATCATTCATTTATTCTCCTTCGGCTTCCAAATTCATCTGGGGTCGCCACAGCGGAATGAACCACCAACTATTTCAGCATGTTTTACACAGCGAATGCCCTTTCAGCTGCAACCTATTACTGGGAAAAACACCCACCCCCACACACACACACGCACGCACACACGCACGCACACACGCACGCACACACGCACGCACGCACACACGCACGCACGCACTACGGCCAATTTAGTTAATCTATTTACCTATAGCGCATGTGTTTGGACTGTGGAGGAAACCCACGCTAACACGGGGAGAACATGCAAACTCCACACAGAAACACCAACTGACCCAGCCGCGACTCAAACCAGTGACCTTCTTGCTGTGAGGCCACGGTGCAACACCACTGAGCTGCAAATTCTCAATTTGTGCATTCATTTGAAGCGTGACTGAACTGTGCGCACCTCTTGTTTGTCGTGTTGCTCTGGTTTCTTGTTTGTCATGTTTGATGTCAGGTCAGTCATGTGACGCTGGACAGACGCATCAGCTGACTCACTGCGCTGCTCTCTGATTGGCTCATCCAGCGGCTCACCAGGGGAACGTTCCAGCAGCTGAAAACACACAAATACGAGAGTGAGCATGGTTATTTTAGTAAACGAAACCTAAAGTTAAAACTAAAACTTTTGGTCAGACAATATTTTCGCTGACAGAAAAACACATGAATAAAAATCACAATACAGGGGTCCCTCGTTATTCGCGGGAGTTACGTTGTAAAGATAACCCGCATTAGGCGAAATTTGTGAAGTAGTCTGCTGTATTTTTACAATTATTTTAGATGTTTTAAGGCTGTAAAACCACTCACTACACTCGATATACACTTTTCTCAGACAGACCTAACGTTTTCACTTTTCTCTCTCGTTTATTAAAGGGTCAAGAAACACCAGAACACATGTGTTGAGCTGTTGACAGTGGTATATGTGTCCCACACTGCTATAAACACTATAAGGACACCTATATTTCACTAAAAAGTGTAAATTGGTTGTTTTTGCGTTATTAAGAGCAAATTCATACTACCGGTTTGAAACTTATTTTTGAAGCTGCGTCACGGTCATGAGATAATAGCGTGTATTCCAGCGTGCAGACTGGACGTCTGAGCCAGAGTGTGTCTTATTACGTCTTACAGTGTGCTGCATTAACGCATGAGTAAGGCTTGGTTCAAACCAATCAGCGCGCTCTATTGTGCAACTTCATTAATATTCATTACTGTCACAGTGTTTAGACGACAGAGACGCCACGTTGTGTTGGCAAAACAAGCGTGAAGTGTTGCTTTTATAGTTTGCTGCAGTGAAGTTTTGTTTTCATTTTCTCTCTGTGAGAGCTCAGCTGGAGTCACGTGTGGATTAACAGTGTACGCGACGCTCGACAACAATAACTTACGTGTCTAAGGAGGATTATTGTTTACCTGAGAGCTGTTCTCATCTGCAAACGCTGAGATCCGGATTCGCTTGTAGTCTCCTCTTAATAAAGACGCGGCTCTAGTTGCTGGTGATTGTCCTGTCTCTACAGATTTGGTAAGTGAGCGACCAGTGCTCTTTGTTTATTCAGTTTGTTCGTATCGAACTAAGTTAACTATTGCACCGAGTGTAAACATGTTAGCATCAAAACCAAACTTTAACCTCGTGTAGGATTTTCACTGCATTTAGTGACCGGAATAACACACGCGGCTTTCTGACACTACCTGCCGTGTGCATCTAAGTTTCCGGGAAATGCGGAGGTTTTTTTTTCTCTCATTCGCCGTGCGGTATCAAACATTGCATGAAAATACACGCTTAGAGCAGCTCCTCGATTCAAATATCTCGTTTGTCGCGAGGGACATGAATGAATTCCCTGAATGAAAGAGCCAAACTGCAGTTAAAGTCCACCATTTAATAATTTGGCAAATAATTCGACTACAGATGTCCATGTAAACACAGTCCCTTTCTCCCCTGTGTGTGTGTGTGTGTTTTGACTCTGAAAGTCAGCGCATGCCCAAATAGACACTCCCACACCATCCCTCTCACCATCCTAAACAGAGATGGACACGCCCACTTTTCTGACTTTTTCCAAAGTAGAGGTGTGAAAACACCCTGCTGAGACGAGAGGGTTTCATGGCCCTTTAACTCTCAAAGTTCAAACCTTCATAGACAAATAAGTCCAGTATTATAGAATGAAAACTAGGATCAAAACCATTTGATCTTCATTTATCTATTCCGTAATGGCGCCCTACAGCTGCGTAACTTCTACCTTCCTTTACGCCCTAATCACACGGGGCTTCAGCGTCAACGCTTGACTGAAGGCGTGTCTGAAGTTGGGACTGACGTGATCGTCATGGCAGCGTCAGCCAATGAAATTTAGTCAGCAATAGGCCACTGTCTAGCTGGTGTATTTGCATACAGCGATCTAAATGGCAGACGCTTCCGTCCGCGCTTGAAAAGTTGAGCTAGTCCCAACTTCTGTAGCGAGCAACGCCTCTGAAGTGGCGCAGACGGATCCACAATGCAGTTCGGCAACGCCTGACGTCAAACATTCAAAGTGAATGGGAAGCGTTGACGCTGACGCTGACGCCCCGTGTGAATGGGGGATTAGTGTGTCCAGAACTTTTTGTGTGATGGTTAGCATCTTCCTCTGCCTTTTGGTGGAGCAGAAGGTTTTGTCAACATTGCGGGAGAAAATTAGCAAATATACAGTTCAGCACTACTACGGATCACTACAGAGTCACACTGCTAGTGACTGAAGATTAATGTAAACTTGACAAGCTGAACACATTCTGTACTGTACAGGAGACACGACACGGAGGAGACTGATTGACAATAGTCTACAGCCAATCAGAACGCAGAACACAATACGTCAATCAGGATGCAGAACGTGATGCATCAGTCAGGACGCAGCAGGGTTATAATAGTTTTGGATTGTTCATTAGTTTTAGTTTCTATTTCGTTTTGACTTTTTGTTTTCAAATTCAGTTAGTTTTTATTAGTGTTAGAGGCAGATTTACTAGCTTTTATTAGTTTCTATCAAGCGGCAACCTCCCGCTCTCCCTCAGGAAGCCAATACGGAAGTAACTAAAACTGCAATTCATCCGAAATTCCGCTAGTCCTGGCCGCTCCTGCCTCCAAAACAGAGCAAATTTCAATTGAGTGCACTGTTGGAATGGCCAACTTTACAGCAGAAAAAAAGGTGTTTACAGCCTGGTACAGAAAAAGATTTTGGTTAATACATCTAATATTACCCTTCATGACAACTGTGAGGGGGTGAATATTTTTATAACTCATCTGTTTCCTTTACATTAGGTTATATTAAGTTTGCATAATTAAGGGCGTGGCCACTTGATTGACAGCTAGGTCTCGTTGGTCGCCGTCACGTCACCTCAGCTGAATCCTGCAGATTAGCCACTGAACTCGGCATATTTATCGTATTTCTGTGTTGTTTTATGTGGCTTTACACAGTCAACTGCCTTTTGGACTTGTTTCCTACAATAATTAGATGGCATGGCATGCTGAGTGCACTTAATTGTGTTCACAAACATTCACGTGGCCTCCGTTTCCTATGTGAGTAAAGTTATATACTTATATACCATCTCTATACATGTATTTGTTTTATTTAAGATCATTTATCATTTATATTAATATTTAGAGCTGTAATGCACTCCAGAATCTGTCAGATTGATTAGCTGTAGGCTCTAGATCAGTCATCTGAAGCGTTGTCATACAGTGTTATGCTGGATTTCATCAATAGTCTTACATTTACTAACACAGACTATATCTGAAGTGTTTGGAAGTAATTTGCGTTTTCCTCCTGTTGAAAAACGTCATAAGAACAATGTTTAGTGGCTCAGTGTATTACAGCAGTGTGTTTAAAAGTCTAAACACTTTATTGATATAGTGTACAACCAAGCACAAGTGGTCAGAACACAAACGAGTCGCAGGTGATGAAGTATTAAGTGTTCTCCCAAAGTAAAGTGTGTCTGAACCAGGTCCAAGCTGAATGCCAGCAGGTGTCTGTTGCTCCGCCCACTCTCCGCCTCTTTGCCCTTGTTTGGTATCCCGCCGTGGGTGTGATGACGCGCAAACAAAATGGCGACGGTTGGCCGCGCCTACTTGTGGCTTCTTTTTGTGCTCTTTAGAAACCTATGGGTGACGTCACGAACACTACGTCCATATATTTTACAGTCTATGGTTTTTATATTTTGAAATTATTTAGTTTTTATTAGTTTCAGTATTAGTTTTAGTTTTTTTTTCTAAATGAGGATATTTGTTAGGTACAAGATTCAAAATCAACAGAATAAATATTGTATAATAGTAACTCCATACATTTTTTGAAACCTGTATTCAGAGAACACATGAACACCATCATCTACCACAACCATCTACCCATGCTCAAACTCAAATACAGCAGTCCTTAACAGCAGCCTTAAGTACAATATGTGTGCAAGGCTGATTCTGAGGTTAGATAAACAGTAGTGATGGGAAGTTTAGATATTTAACATGGATGTTTGGACTCATCATGGCAAAATAATGTAGTCAGCAATAGTAATTTCAGTCAGTTAAAACATCAGCCTGATCTGAAAAAATGACTTACAGTAAAGTTTTGCAACCCAACTAAATCATGCTTCACTTATTTAAAGTCCATTACGATTGTCTGTTATGAAATAAACTTATGTTTTTCACCAGATCCTCTAATTTAAGCCCTCGGTTTACCCGCTCTGCAGTTCAAGTTCAGTCATACAGCAAGCTGTCCTGTTTGTGTTTGGTTCACTGAATCACACATGCGCTGTATTATCGGTTCACCACTTCTCAATGTAACGTTACTGTTCTAATAACTGAATGAAAGTGTATATTGGATTATTTAGAGTCAGAGGCGGGTATTAGGCTTGTTATAAAGTAAGTAGTTGGTGGATAAGTGCTTACAGGAGAAGTGAATCATTTCAAATGATTCAGTTAGTTTTGGTGAACTAGTTCAACTGGTTCACTTAGAAGATCAGGTTAAAAAGATTCATTCGCGATCGCGATACAGAAATAAAACCCATTATTGGGCACAAACGTGTAAAAATAATAGTTTTAAGTGTCTGTATTTAATGCTGTCGCCGTGCTGCTGTCATGTCCACTCATTGTTTATGTCACGGGAGCAACAGCTGGAGGAGATTCGGCTCGATCTGGCCAATGGCAGCAGGACTACAGACTCTGAGGTGTGAACGGGTCAAACACCTGCAGCGCGGATTATATTTACTTTTAAAAGTCTTACAGTAAGATTATGTATTAAATACATTTACAAATATGAAAACGAATGAGGTTTTTGCTCTAATTCTAGCTAGTTTCAGTTAGTTTTGTATGTACACAATACAGTTTCAGTTCGTTCTAGTTTTTTTAACAACTCTCGTTTTTATTTTTATTTCAGTTGACGACAATTATTTTACATTTTAATTTTCGTTTTGTCGTTCATTTTCGTTAACTATAATAACCTTGGCACAAACCTCCGCAAACAGCAATGACGTCACATTCGCAGTGCGCACTGAGAGAACGCTGAAAGCAGAGAGCTGATTGGCTATTGCATGCTCATTTGTAGCTGTAATACTGCAAATTACATTAGGTCTAGTGAAATAAAGAACTACAACACCACGAAAACAACAACAACAACAAAATAGAATTGAAATGAGCAGTAGATGTAGCGTTACATGGACATCAAATAAATAAGACCTGTGCAAAAAAAAAGATCAAGAACAGTGAATTTAAGACTTTAAGACCCCGTAGAAACCCTGTGTAAAATTATAACAAGCTTGATGTGCAAAGCCAGACGTGTGTGTGTGTGTGTGTGTGTGTGTGTGTGTGTGTGTTGTACCTTTGACACATAATACTGCAGCTCACTCTGTCTGTCTTCAGAAACTCTGATCCTGCTGGGTGGAGCTTCATCTGAAAGGGGCGGAGCCTTCTCAGAACCACTACTGTAGGCCCAACCTCTGCCACCATCTGCAGTTGAGCTGTGATTGGTCCATGTGTCTGAGAGGGCATGGCTTTGTTTCAGTACAGAAACTCCACCCCTGCTCTGCCCACTTTCTGGAGCTGAGCCATTATTAGTCCATGTCTCTGAGGGGGCGTGGCTCTTTTTCAGTACAGAAACAACGCCCCTGCCGAGCCCACTATCTGCAGCTGAGCAGTGATTGGTCCATGTGTCTGAGGGGGCGTTGCTCTGCTTCAGTACAGAAACACCGCCCCTGCCCAGCCCACTATCTGCAGTTGAGCTGTGATTGGCCCATTGGTCTGAAGGGGTGTGGCTCTGCTTCAGTACAGAAGCTCCGCCCCTGGCCAGCCCACTATCTGCAGTTGAGCTGTGAATAGTCAATGTGTCTAAGGGGGCGTGGCTCTGTTTTAGTACAGAAGCTCCGCCCCTGCCCAGCCCACTATCTGCAGCTGAGCTGTTATTGGTCCACGTGTCTGAGGGGGCGTGGCTCTGTTTCAGTACAGAAGCTCCGCCCCTGCCCTGCACATTATCTGCAGCTGAGTTGTGATTGGTCCATGCGTCTGTGTGGCTGTGTTTCAGCTTGGGTTCACACTGACTGTAATTCAGATTGTGCTTCAGGTTTGACTGAGTTTCTCTCCTCTCCTCACTCTGCTCTTTCATGGATTCATCTATTGTGAACATCGGCCTGACCCACAATGCACTGCAGTCACTGAGTGCTACAACAAACAAATACACACACACACACACCCACACAGAAATTAAATGGCATCAAAATCAATTAAATATGGATTAAAAATATTTTGAAATCAAAGTAAAATAAATGGAATTAAATGACATCAAAATCAACTAAATTTGTACAATTTAGATATTATTTCATATATATGTGTAAGTGTGTGAGTGTGTGTAAGTGTGTGTGTGGGTGAATGAGCCATATCAGAGAGAGTGTGTGAGTGAAAGTGTGTGTGTGTGTGTGTGTGATCGAGTGACAAAAACAAACATGGGTGAGTGCTTGTGTGTATGTAAGTATGAGGTTAATGGGCGTGTGTAAGTATGCATGTTTTTTTGAGCATTTGTATGTGTGTGTGAGAGTGTGTGTGTATGTCAGAGCAAATTTGTGTGTGTGTGTGTGTGTACCTGTGAGCTCAGTGTTGTCCAGCTGTGGCTCTAGTGGGCTGAGTGTGTGTGTGTGTGTGTGTGTGTGTGTGTGTGAACCTGTAAGCTCAGTGTTGTCCAGCTGTGGCTCCAGTGGGCTGAATGTGTGTGTGTGTGTGTGTGTCTGTGTGTACCTGTGAGCTCAGTGTTGTCCAGCTGTGGCTCTAGTGGGCTGAGTGTGTGTGTGTGTGTGTGTGTGTACCTGTGAGCTCAGTGTTGTCCAGCTGTGGCTCCAGTGGGCTGAATGTGTGTGTGTGTGTGTGTGTGTGTGTGTACCTGTGAGCTCAGTGTTGTCCAGCTGTGGCTCCAGTGGGCTGAATGTGTGTGTGTGTGTGTGTACCTGTGAGCTCAGTGTTGTCCAGCTGTGGCTCCAGTGGGCTGAATGTGTGTGTGTGTACCTGTGAGCTCAGTGTTGTCCAGCTGTGGCTCCAGTGGGCTGAATGTGTGTGTGTGTGTGTGTACCTGTGAGCTCAGTGTTGTCCAGCTGTGGCTCCAGTGGGCTGAATGTGTGTGTGTGTGTGTGTGTGTGTACCTGTGAGCTCAGTGTTGTCCAGCTGTGGCTCCAGTGGGCTGAATGTGTGTGTGTGTGTGTGTACCTGTGAGCTCAGTGTTGTCCAGCTGTGGCTCCAGTGGGCTGAATGTGTGTGTGTGTGTGTGTACCTGTGAGCTCAGTGTTGTCCAGCTGTGGCTCCAGTGGGCTGAATGTGTGTGTGTGTGTGTGTACCTGTGAGCTCAGTGTTGTCCAGCTGTGGCTCCAGTGGGCTGAATGTGTGTGTGTGTGTGTGTGTGTACCTGTGAGCTCAGTGTTGTCCAGCTGTGGCTCCAGTGGGCTGAATGTGTGTGTGTGTGTGTGTGTGTGTGTACCTGTGAGCTCAGTGTTGTCCAGCTGTGGCTCCAGTGGGCTGAATGTGTTGCTGCAGTTGATCTCTGAGTTCAGCTCTCGGTGTGTTCCCCACTGCTGCTCCTTCTCTCTGGAAAGATGCAGAACCACAGCCTGCGGAGCTGCTCAACGCACGCACGCAAGCAAGCAAGCACGCACGCACAAACACACACATATTATCATATATCAGAAACACTCATGAATGACAGTATGTGATGTGTGAGCAATCATACAGATCAATATTTGCTGAATAAACAAATGTACGAGCACAGACAGTCTGATCACCTGATACATGTGGGTCACTCTTAGGAGAAGAAGACATTCTGGATGTTTCCCTCTGATGGACGGGTGATAAAAAACTCTCCATCTGCGCACACACACACGTTTTATAGGCACTATAAACACTGAATGTATTATAATGATTATTAGCCAATGACTGCTGTACCTGCTCCTGATTGGTCAGCAGCCGTAAAGCCTCCGCCCAATGAGAGCGCATCATTCCCTGAAGACGAGACACAAGCTCCTCCCTCTGCGATTCTAGCTTCTTTTTAGTCGCTGCCATGGAAACCAGCTGCTCCTGCATCTCCGACAGTCTACACACAAACATACACACACACACAGCTGAAAGCAGAAGTTTACATACGCTGTGTAAAAAGGCACATAACCATTGAAAACAGGTCAGATGTTAATGTGACTTCACTTTTTCTCTTTAAGGTAAGTTAGGATGATCACATTAGTTTCAACTTTCGCTTTCAGATTTAAAGGGCTAGCATTGCACCAGACCCCCGTAAGTGGTGTCGTTTGAAAGGGTAGAATCTATATTTTATGCACATATGCATCACTTTGGTTTTTATTCTACTGTACAAAAGTTATTTACACTTAAATACACAGTATTTTGGATACCGAGCTGGGTATTGAACATTGGTTTATTTTCATATTTTTCATATGACACATGTACAAGTTATAGCTCACATGAAAGCTCTTGCCGGTGCTCATACGGTTCTAGCATTCTTTTACTGAATTATATTCACATATCAAACAGTTGCCGAATGAATCTTGGTGTTTCCATGGAGCAGAAGTGAAAACAATACATTCATAATCAATAAGCAGCCCCAGATAGCACAGACAGCCGTCATCTCTTACCTTATGCTGTGCTCTTCAGGGCCATTCTCCTCTGTGTTTGAGGTGATGTGCATAAGTAATCCTTTTATATGTCTGACGTGCTCCAAACACAGTGAATTATGTTTGATCAAGCAAAAGAATAGTGAAATATGTAAACAATGATCGCTCCCTGTGGCTTGTACAGCACCTCTCATCAGTTGCAATACAATAACTTCTGCATAGATTATGGTGGAGACATTTTTCTTTTTCCTATGATTACAGACATGTGCAGGAACCACCAACATTAATTACAGCACGCTAGACCACACAGAACCTAAAAGAGACACTTTCAAATTTGCATTTATAAATAAAAAATACAAAAAGCGCCTCTTTATTAGGTGTTTATTATAACACAGACGACATACACAGTTATTTTAAACACTTTCAATAGTGTTTTATGAAAATTCAAAGGGTTTTCTTTATCATTCATTATTTGTTTATTTATTGCCATGTCAGCTACTAAGGCTGTTTTCATGGCAAGAGCATTTCAGTAATTAACAAACATCAACAGTAAAAAATAAATAATTGAATATACAGTTTAAATAAGATTTTTCTGGTTAATACATGTTAAAATTCTAATACTTATTCTGGTGTCACTTTGTTAAAAATATCCTTAAGAGAGTTCTCATCATAAAAAGTTTTTCTAGAGTCATTAAAAGCAGGGCAGTCCAGTAAAATGTGTTTTTTACAGTCCATGGGGTTTTACAGTGCAAACATCGGATAGGGTCTTCATCTTTGAGTAAAAAGTTATGTGTTAATCTTGTATGTCCAATACGACATCTGGTAAAAATTACTTGATCAGCTCGTTTCTTAAAATGTCTTGTACCTCTGTGTGTAATTTCAGGCTGGATTTCGTGTGATTTATTGTTTTCCAGAGTATCCCACTCCCTCTTGGGTTGCATTTACACCTCTGCATGTGGATTTGGGAAGCTTTTAAATTTGGGTAGGCAAAATCCAGGCGGAAATCCCAAAATAGCAGCAGAGTTTAACTGGTTAACAGCAGAATAATGAGAGAGATATGTATTGAGAAATTGTTATAACTTTTCTTGAAAGTCAATTTTACACACAACAAGAGTGTTCTGCCTCTGTAAAAGCTCAGATGATGATGTCAAGGTTTAGGAAGTTTCTGATTGGCTAATTGACAACATTTGAGATAATGTGAGGCACAACTGTAGAATAGTATTGAAGGAAGAGCTCAAACACACTGCTTCCCTGTGTGACAACATGGAGAATCAACAAGCCAGAATCAGCACAAATGCCAGATTACCATTAGCTGAATTACACTGGGAAAAAGTGTAATGTTTGGAGACATGTCCTGTGCTCTGATGGAGCTAAGATTGAACTAATTGGCCATAATGAGCAGTGTTACATTTGGAGGACAAAGGGGATAGCTTACAAGCCACCATCCCAAATGTGAAGTATGGGGGAAGTATGGCTGTTTTGCTGCAGGAGGGACTGGTCCACTTCACAGCATAGATGGCATCATGGAGACAGAACAGTATGTAGAAAGACTGAAGCAACATCTTAAGACATCAGCCAGTACATTACAACTTGGCCACAAATGGCTCTTCCAAACAGACCTTAAGCATACTGCAAATATGACAGTAAGGGGCCGTCAACACAGAAGGCATTTTTCCTCTCCAATGTGCGACTTAATGATTTTCAACGTGCTGGACGGACATGTTTGACCATTACAGCTAGCTTATCACTGTCAGCTCTAAAAGCAATGGACCAATCAGAAGAGCTAGGAGGCGGAGCAACAGGGACCATCTGTTAAAAGTAGAAGGTTGGCATGGCAACCTGATATTTGATGGCGAAGGGGGCGCTCACTGTGGCTTTGTCCAGATATCCTGAGTTTTATTTTTTATTTTTTTTATTGAGTTTAACAAGACAATACATCATAGTATACAATACAACAAAGGAAAAATTACAGAGTGCCTTATTTTCCCACTATCCCCTTGAAATAAAATAAATTAAAATGTATGAATTATAAACAAACATCCTCTAAAAGAAATAATAATAAATTAAAAAATAAAATACAAGAATTAAAAGAAATTGTTAAACAATATAATAATAAATGAGCAAGTTTACGATAAAAGCAAATAATAAATAAATAAATAAATCAAATTATTGAAAAAATAGTAAGGGTGTCACGATCCTCCAAATCCTCGATTCGATTACATTTTCGATTCTAAAGGCACGATTCGTTTCGATTTTCGATTATGAATAATTCATTAATGACCAATTAATTATTTGTATCCTACCGTTTAAACTACCTGACCTGCATGGTCTTTGTTTTACCCATAAACAAATCATACAGTAAATGAATAAAGGCAAGATACACACATAATTACCACCTGTCAATCACTTTTTCTGCGGGACTCGTGAATAGGCAGTGATCTGTGTCGTTATAATGGCGTCTGTAAAAAAGACGCACAACCAACAGGAACCAGCCAACAGTATCTGAGGTGTTCGCCAAAATGACGAAGTACAAGTGAGTGAAAGATTAAAGCAGTCCTCTGACTGCCTGAACCCGCTGTCTCGAGCCCATGGCTGTGTGTGCATCTGTGTCTGTGTGGTCAAGTGATGTGCATTTTCAGAGGTAGAGAGGAAGGAGGGCTGATCAGAAATGCTACACGCCACTGTGGATGTCAAATCGTGGTCGTTCTAAAATGTCATTTAAAAACAAAGACAGTGTAAACAGGGCCTGAGTGTGTACTTTTCACAAGCGGATTTGCAATGGGGGCGGGCGGAGGATCGCGATGCCGGTGTTGTCTATCGGACGAACCGTACGTAATACGTACATAGCAGAGCTTGCAAAACTGTGCTTTTTTTGTCGACAACACGAACGTTGTCAACATAACTCACTGGAAATCCAAAATGCTTCCACACCGGCGAATTCATTGAAAGAGGAGAGGGTTTAAGCTCTGTCGACGGGTCTCCTGCTTCTGCAGTTTAACAAGCACTTCAACAAGCCTGTTTTTTCCCGCCTGGCAAGCCTAGCTGACGTGACATGGGGGCGTGGCAGCATCGACGATTCTATTTTTGGATTCGATAATCGAAATTGAGCATAAATTTCGATCGATTTCGATTAAAAACCTAAATCGTGACACCCCTAAAAAATAGTAATTAAAAGTTCACATTAAGGAGTCAATATTTCCTCTTTCCAATGAATACTGTTTATTAGATCTGATATCGACTAAACAAGGTAAGCCTTTGATATAGTCTAAAACAGGGTTCCAGGTCTTGTAAAAAGTTTTGAGAGATCCTGCAAGTAAACATCTTAATTTTTCAAGTTTTATGTAACTATGATAATAGTTACTATGATAATGTTACTATGATAATGTTACTATGATAATGATACTATGTAACTATGATAATCGGATCAGCCCTACCATCCATTCAGGACATATACCCGCTCTGTTGCTACAAAAGAGCTACAAACATCATCAAAGACTTCACCCATCCCACACATAAACTGTTCACCCTCCTACCATCTAGGAAACGCTACAGCAGTATGCATTGCAAGACTACCAGACTCATTAATAGCTTTTTTCCTCAAGCTATCAGACTGCTCAACTCACTCATGAAAACTGGTTTATAAAATCACAATCCACAGCCCACACATACAAAAATCTGTGGAACTGTGAGAAAGGCAAACTCAATGTTTTTATGTTAATATTCCTTGCACGTGTAACATGTTTACAAAATTCACTTACCTCTAAGCTGCTACTTTGCACTTTCCACTTTTGCCATACTGCACCTAATTGCACTACAATAAATACCTCAACTTGGTCATATTCTGGAACATTAGGATATATGGTAACTGTTCACAGTTTATTAGTGTCTATTATTTAATTTATCTTGTACTATATTAGTTAAATGTTTAGTTTATGTCTAGTGTGTGTCATATTTTTGTTTTTGTTTTTTTTTAAATTGCACATTGGAGTATGGGAGAAACGCAATTTCAGTCTACTGTGTAATGTACTGTTGCATGGTTTGATTGACAATAAAGTTGACTTGACTTGAACTAAAAATTTCTTGGATCCACATGTCCAGATATCCTGAGTTATATGACGATTCTTCAAACCGCTTATCAGAACACCGTGTTTTCCTATTTCTAATGTCTCCGTTATTGTCATTATTACATCATGTTTATAATATCGCATCTCACTGACCTCACGCTGCACTGCACTTTTTATAAGCCCATTTCTGAGCACTGCATCTTGCGTTTTAAAAGCAAAGGTGCATTTGGTGTGAGTGAGCCGTGATGATAGCAGCTACAGTATGACGCTGAGTGCTGGTGTCTGTGTCTGTAATGCTAGCAGCAGCTGTCAGTGTGAGCTGTACCTGTGCTGGTAAGCCTGTGTGAGATGCTGCAGTTTGTCGTCTCTCTCCTGTAACTGTGTTCTGCACTGATCCAGCTGAGCCGCCAGCTCTCGCTCCTGCCGCGCACTCAGATCCAGCAGCTGCTTCCTGAACACACACACACGCACACACGCACACACACACACACACACACGCACACACGCACACACACACACACACACACACACACACACACACACACACACACACACACACACACACACACACACACACACGCACGTAAAATTTTGCCGTTCAGATTAATTTTGTGACAAGGACCAGAGAGATGTTTTAAAGTGATAGCTCTCCCAAAACATTTAAATACCCCAGCATGAACTCTCCCTAATGTGGTTTTAAAGAGTCACGAAACACCAAAACACATGTGTTGAGCTGTTGACAGTCGTATATGTGTCCCACACTGCTAAAAACACTATTAGGACACCTATATTTCACTAAAAAGTGTAAATTGGTTGTTTTTGCGTTATTTCAAGCAAATTCATACTTTTGGTTTGAAACTAATTTTTGAAGCTGCGTCACGGTCATGAGATAATAGCGTGTATTCCAGCGTGCAGACTGGACATCTGAGCCAGAGTGTGTCTTATCACGTCTTACAGTGTGCTGCATTAATGCATGAGTAAGGCTTGGTTCAAACCAATCAGCGCGCTCCATTGTGCAACTTCATTAATATTCATTACTGTCACAGTGTTTAGACGACAGAGACGCCACGTTGTGTTGGCAAAACAAGCGTGAAGTGTTGCTTTTATAGTTTGCTGCAGTGAAGTTTTGTTTTCATTTTCTCTCTGTGAGAGCTCAGCTGGAGTCACGTGTGGATTAACAGTGTACGCGACGCTCGACAACAATAACTTACGTGTCTAAGGAGGATTATTGTTTACCTGAGAGCTGTTCTCATCTGCAAACGCTGAGATCCGGATTCACTTGTAACGTTAGTCTCCTCTTAATAAAGACGCGGCTCTAGTTGCTGGTGATTGTTCTGTCTCTACAGATTTGGTAAGTGAGCGACCAGTGCTCTTTGTTTATTCAGTTTGTTCGTATCGAACTAAGTTAACTATTGCACCGAGTGTAAACATGTTAGCACCACAACCAAACTTTAACCTCGTGTAGGGTTTTCACCGCATTTAGTGACCGGAATAACACACGCGGCTTTCTGACGCTACCTGCCGTGTGCATCTAAGTTTCCGGGAAATGCTGAGGTTTTTTTCTCTCATTCGCCGTGCGGTATCAAACATTGCATGAAAATACACGCTTAGAGCAGCTCCTCGAATCAATTATCTCGTTTGTCGCGAGGGACATGAATGAATTCCCTGAATGAAAGAGCCAAACTGCAGTTAAAGTCCACCATTTAATCATTTGGCAAATAATTCCACTACAGATGTCCATGTAAACACAGTCACTTTGTCCCCTCTGTGTGTGTGTGTGTGTGTGTGTGTGTGTGTGTTTTGATTCTGAAACTCAGCGTGCCCAAATAGACACTCCCACAGCATCCCTCTTTTCTTCCTCCGACACTCCCCCCTATACAGAGCTGGACACGCCCACTTTTCTGACTTTTTCCAAAGTAGAGGTGTGAAAACACCCTGCTGAGACGAGGGGCTTTCATGGCCCTTTAAATCATTATGAGCTTATTTTCCTTTGTTTTATTGTTTGTATAGTTACACACCACACTCTCAAGCCCATGAAACTAATGCTGTGATGTTGTGTGTGTGTACCTGTGCTGCTGTCGTAGTTGTGTGTTGTATGTGTTGTTCTCCTCCTGCACAGCCTTCACTCTTTCACTGATCTGCTGCTCCAATGACAGACGAAACTCAGCCTCCATCTGAGACTTCTGCGCCTCGAACTGCGTCTGTAGAACACACACACAATTTTAAAGGCCTATACACAGCAAGACATATGACAGTAATGATAGCTTCAGCAACAACTGTATCAGTGCTCACTCCAACAGAATCAACTTACATTTCTGGCTAACTGACCCAGCCAGGACTCTAACCAGTGACCCTCTTACTGTGACAGTGCTAGCCATTGAGCCGAGGTGCCACCCACTTATTTAAATTTAACAACTTAAATCAAAATGATTTTTAAAAACACTAGCCAATAAAATAACGTTGTTACAACATTTTTAAAATGACTAATAAAACAAAACAGTCACAGTTGAGGTCATTGGTGTAAACAGGTCTGACTCTCCTCAAATCTACTTATTGGCATACTGAGATACTGTGATGATATGCATCTCTATAGACCTAATTCTTTTGGAAGCACAAAACTTCCACTCTCAAACAGCTCGTTTTCCCAGTACTGACTTACAGCTGGAAGGGCATCCGCTGTGTAAAACATATATAATGTATAATAGTTGTATAGCATATATAATAGCATAGCATAATAGCATATATAATGTAATAGTTGACGGTTCATTCCTCTGTGGCGACCCCTGATAAATAAGGGTGCTTTCACACTAGCACTTTTGGTCAGCACCCGAGTTCGTTTGACGTCATAGTACGGTACGTTAGCCTAGTGTAAATGCGTCTTCTGAACTCGGGTGCGCACCCGTAAACCGTACCTGAGTCCGCCTGAAAGAGGTGGTCTGGGGTACGGTTCATGCGAACTCTGGTAAGGTTTACTTCTGATGTGAATGCAATCGTACAAAATAACGGAAGTGAACTATAGTGAACTGCCAACTGTACAACAAACTAGGGTTGTAACAATATACCGGTATGACGGTCCACCACGATTTGAACGTGCATGATTGTCATACCATGAACAATTGCATATCAACGGTTTTAACTCTTAAAGACCGAGACAGCCGTCCGCGGCTAAAAAATAAGTATTGCTCTTAAATGTTTAATAACTTTTGATCCGCTGATCCGATTCATAAAATTCGAAGATTGGCATAAAGAAGAGAATCTCAGCTTTCCAGTGCTGTATCACATAACATTCGGACTTTCAGAGGCTCTGGAATCAGTGCGGTTACGTCATCAAAATTTGACAACGCTGATTTGACAAAGAAACGCTCGTCACTGTGTCTCCGGACAAACCAGACATGATACATTGATGCATTGTCCCTCCTCCATGCCCAGATTGGTTCAAACTCGCTATATCACAACCAATAAGCATAGGTTTCGCTTTTGTTTGTGGACCAACATGAGCTTTTTGAACAACACGGAATGAGAGATAGGCATACATTTATGCGCGGCTAAATAAAACGCAAAAAAAAAAAGTTTTGCATGAAATAATTCTCATACTAAGTACTTTTGCATGCACAGCAGCACAGAAACATGACAAAACAGTGACACAGCAAAGACGAACTGCTGCTCTTGCTGTTTTCAAAAGACGCAAATGAAGGTGCAGCTGTTTGTCTGCATTGCAGACAACCATATCCAAATCCATATCCACAGACAACCATATCCATGCTGGCACATAAAACCTAAGGATGTTCCATATTGAATCTAGTTTCGTTATGTAACTATTTATAGTATAGTAAATATTTATATCTATTTTTTTACTGAGGATTTGCACCATGTTTATTTGGACTTTATTTGGACTTTGACACATTATTTATTATTTTCTTATTTTTTTATTTGTTCATTGTAAGTGGTGTTGTTTATAGTAACTAAAAATATATTATTTGGAAAAAGTCAAATTTGCTTCACTGTTCTATTATTTTGTAACATTTGTAACATACCGTATACCGCGAAACCGTCAAACCGTGGTATTGTTTTAGACGATTATCATACCGTAAAAAATTAATACCGTTACAACCCTACAACAAACTATCGTTTTCATAACGTTCGTTTGTTCGCGTGTGTGTGTCTTGTTTCGTACCTTGGTGACACGCGCGGGACTGAGCCAGGGCAAACACAGTGATGTCTGCTTGTCTCCTCCAAAAACTGCTTCTGCAGACGCTGTGTGATGTTCTGAATGTGCATAATATTTTTGCGGCAGATGGACGCAAGTTGCTTTCTGTATATCTAAAAGCTTTCAGTAAAAGCAGAATGACCGCGATGTGCGGAAGTCCTTCCATTTCGGTGCTTGCTTGCGTGGCCGTCACCTAGCAACGGACGTAAACAAAACAGCAGCTCGATGACGCAAGCGTACCGGGGTTCAGAAGGAAAAAAGACAGTGTGAACACAAACCAACCGAGGAGGTGGCAGGGGGAGACAATCGAACTTGGGTACGGTCCAGGCAAATGAACCAAGTGTGAAAGCACCCTAAGAGACTAAGACAAAGGAAAATGAATGAATGAATGAAAGAATAAAAACAGCTTGTTCTGCTGCTTGATGTTGCAAACTGATATCCTCTTAATATACTACTCTACTTTTTATGAATAGTCATAAACACTTGTTTGAGCGAGCAGTTTTCTGCAGTTTACTATTCCTGGTCATTTCTCCCATAGGAAACGGAATCAGCAGCTCTTAATCAATCGCTAAAACAATCACACTTCCACATCTCCACATCGTTAGTGAGGCCAGCAGGGGGCCCAACCTGCGGTCTGTGTGGGTCCTAATGCCCCAGTATGGTGAAGGGGACTCTATACTGCTCAGTAAGCGCTGTCTTTCGGATCAGATGTTAAACCGAGCACCCGACTCTCTGTGATCATTAAAAATCCCAAGATGTCCTTGGAAAAACAGTAGGGGTTTAACCCTGGCATCCTGCCCAAATCTGCCCACTGGCCTCAGTCCATCATGACCTCCTAACCATCCCCATATCATAATTGGCTTCATCACTCTGTCTCCTCTCCACCAATCAGCTGTTGTGTGGTGTGCGGTCTGGCGCAAATCAGCTGCCGTCGTGTCATCCAGGTGGATGCTGCACACTGGTAGTGGATGAGGAGATTCTCCCCAATGTGTAAAGCACTTTAAGTGCCCAGAAAAGCGCTATATAAATGTAAGGAATTATTATCATCTCAGAATAAGGTCTATAATGTATGAGTGTGTGTGAGACCTGCTCCAGTGCTCGCTCTATTCTCAGTGTCTCTCGCTCTCTCCTTGTCGTCTCCAGCTCTTCCTGTAACAGCCGAGTTCTGCTTTCTGCCTCTTCACGCGCAGACACTTCCTGTTTTAGCTGATCCTAAACACACACAAACACACAAACGCACACACACACACACACACATACACACATACACAGTCACAGTAATTGAATAATAAAAATAATTCAATGAAATGCATTATTACTGAAGCTGCACATAGTATAACTTCTTATTCCTGAATGCTTTTATAGTCATTATACAGTCACAGGGCTCAAAAACAAATGATCAACTATAATCCAGACTCAACAATGCATATCCTGCGATGTAGTTATTGTGAATAACCACATTATACATCTTACACTGTGCAGCCCTAGTGTGTGTGTGTGTGTGTGTGTGTGTGTGTGTCTCACCGTGTGTGTGTGCAGCTGCTGCTGTAATTCTTGTGTGTGCTGCTGCAGCTCCTTGATTTGTTGTTGTAGATTCGTCCGTGTGTCATGCGACTCTGTCTGGAGTTTGTGGAGCTGCTCTCTGTGTTTATCTGCTTCTCTGCTAAGCTTTTGCTTGTCTTGCTGTAAGTCCTCCACATGCACACGCAGATCAGACGCCTCTTGCTCCTGAAATCACAAACGCATCGTTGATACCACCATCATCACCACAATCATATTCACCATCCACTCATTAGAATCACCATTACTGCTTCTGTCATTGCCATAATCATAACCACAACTAGCTTCAACAATGTAATCATCACCATTGCTGTCATAATCATTACCACCACCCACCATAATCATCAGTAATATCATTACCACCGTCATGTCCAACACCATACATACCACCACCAGTCATACAATCATCACTAATATCCTCATTACCATCACCACTACTAACATCACCATTATAATCACCACTACCATAACCACTATTCTCTCCAGCACTGTCATTATAGTCCCCATAAAAACATAACTATCATTACCACCACCATCATAATCATAACTGCTATCATTACCACTACTATAATCTATACATCATATTTATCAAACCCACCAGCACTATCGTCATTACCACCACCATTATCCCTAGCAGCATCACATTTAATCAACATTTTAATTATCATCACCACCACCATTAGTATCATAAT